GAAGTCCCCACCCACCCACGACCCCCTCCTCGTAACGTCATCTGGTGATACCGTCTTCTCGTTTGGCACCTCTCCTGCAAGGGCGTTTTTTATTTTGCTCTTATAAGCCAAGCTCCTGTTCCGCTCTCCTCCTGCTTTTCCTCTGCCCCACTGCCCCCCTCGGCTTCTCCCTCAAGCCGCCCAACCTGTTCTACTACCTCACCCATGAGGGCGCTACTGAGCTCTTGGTTCTCCCGGTAAACCCCGGTAAAACCAATCTCCCATTCAGCTCTCCTCCTGTTTCTCCTCTGCCTGTCTTACCATCCTTGGCTTCTCCAGGCGGACAATGTGTTCTATTATCTCACCTACGAGGGCGCTGTGGACATTGATGCAATCACCGACCAGACCAGGCGCACAGCCTTCGAACAGCAGATCGCCGCTTTTGGCCAGACTCCCATCCAGCTCTTCACACGCCCCCACCCGGAACGCGGCCCGCACGTCCAAATCACCCGCCCACTCCACTTCTTCCCGTCCTCCATCTCCCTCTCCGCCATCATCCCAGCCCCCCCCACCCCGGCTGTTTCCTCCACTGTGGTTCCCGCTTTTGCTGGGAGCGTAGGGGGTCCTGGAGGGAGGACGCGGGGGGGCAAGGGGAGGTCGGAGGATGATATGGCTGTGGTGTTTATGGGGGTGGTGGGTCGTACTGTAGTGAGTGTGACGAGGGGGCAGGTGCTGACAGTGCGCTCGTGGAATGCTCCAAAGAAGCGCGTGAAAGTGGGCATGGTGAGTGTGGCGATGGGTGGATGAATGCTGGGCTCTGGTTCGGTGTCTGGGTGATTGCTGAATGGATTCCATGTTATGTGATGGATGCAGTTTCACCGCTGTGGGGAAAAATTGAAGTTTGGGAGTGACCTCCCTCCATTCGCACCTGATCCTTCCTATATCCCTCCTTTTCGCCTTTTTGCGAAACTGAAGTAACTCAAGAGCCTTGCCCTCACTCTCCAATCCTGTTGTTTTCCCCCCAACAGGATTATAGCATCAGCGTGGGTGAGCCAAGCCGAGTGTGCAGGATTGGAGCGCCTCTCTCTGCTCCCGGAGCTAGCAGCTATGGCGACTGCTTCGGAATCGTACCAGGAGCCACATCAGCATTCCTCTTCTCGGGGGGGCACTGGGACAATGCCATTCGCAGCACGTCTGTAGATGATGCTGCCACTGTTCAGGCGCTGCAGCAGCACAGCGACCTTGTCACTTGCCTTTCAGGTGCGCCTTTGTTCCTGTGTTGTCTGCCTGCATTGTGGTAGCCGTTGCAGCACAGAAACCCTAACTGCACACTCCCATCAGCATATCAGCTGCCGCGAGTACCATTTACCAGCAAATCATTCACTCTATTCCCTTTCGTCCTCACGTCCGTCTCCCCTTTCCTTCTCCCACGTATGCTGTCCCAGTGTCCAACGACGGTAACTGGCTGGCCACAGGCAGCCGTGACACAACAGTCATGATCTGGCGCATCGACCACCTGGGTGCACACACACATGAGCAAGGCGACCCCTTCATCTCCTCCAAGCCCCGCGCAGTGCTCTGCTCCCACGACGATGCCGTCACGGCTGTCATCGCCTCCTCTGAGCTAGATTTGATTCTCTCCGCCTCCCTGGACGGCTCCCTCGTCTTTTCCACTCTCCGTGCCGCCCGGTTCCTCCGGTCGCTGCAACACCCCAACAACTGTGCAAATGAGGCGCTGAGAATCGCCCTCTCTGCGCCTCTCGCTCGCGTCGCAGTCTACTCCGACGCCGCCCGCATGCTCCATGTGTGCTCCATCAACGGGGGTTGGCTGGAACATGCACTAGTGGACGAACCGATCACGCATCTTACCTTATCTCGTTGCGGAGAGTTCCTTGTCACGGCGTGCAGCGCAGGGTGGGACACAGGAGGAACGGGTGGTGGAAGAGGGGGGAGCGCCAGTGGTCGGGGAGGGGGGGGGACAGAAGCTGGGATGGTAGTGGTGAGATCCATGCATACACTGGAGCCGTTGCTGATGTTTGATGGGGTGGGGTCGCCAGCAGCGTCGATCACAACGACAGAGGAGGATGCCATCCTCGTGGGGCTGGAGGATGGCAGAATGCTGCTGTATGCTCTCAAGCTCTCCTCACATTGACCATCCCTCCACTACCCAGTCCACCAGTCCAAGCTGTCTCCACAGCTTTCGCACACATGCTCCTCTGACCTGAGTAAAGCTCTTGCCTTGTCACCCCTGCTTGAAGCTCCTCTTGACCAGGTTCTTTACAGTTCTCCCTTGAGCATTACCGGTCATCCTGGTAGCAGCGGCATGAGTTGAAGACACGCGGGAGATGCCCATTTGCTGGCGAACAGCTGGCTGAGATGGCTGTTCAAGCCGCGTAAAACTTTTACCGCTCCTTGTTTTCTTGCTGCTTTCTGCTTTTGCCCATCCAGTTATTTGTGGTACCTATGCCTAGGCCAAGCAGAGACTGTGATTGAATAAGGAAGGTGTCTGTGCCACCACCTGTGTGGAAGTAGACACCTGATGGTTTTGCTACTAGGGAACATGCTGTGCTAGTAGTAGTGCCTTGACTGTTTCTGTTGCTAGCAGTTTCATGACTTGACACAACCTTTTTCACGTTGGACCAGTCTGAGCAGCATTGGTGTCAACATCTAGCGGCTGTTTAAATGGAAGTGAGTGTACATTACAGCTTGACAGCAGTCCATCACCTCTTTATACAGTCACTCCTTTTTCAAGCATTTCCTGATAATAGCTGGCTTCAGCTGCCCTTGGTACACCACAACCGCAATAACAAGCGTGAAGAGGGAGCAGAGGAACCCACTAGCCATGGCGATCCCCACCTCTCTGGACCAGCTACCCTCCCCTCCTGCAACCGACCACCAGTCACTCTCCCCTCCTCTCCTCAGCCCCACACTGGACTCCGTCTGAAAGCTGTGATGGTGAAACCACACCACGGAGCCATGCAGGCCCACTAACCCGCCCTGCTTAACCAGCTGCATGTGGTCTGCTACTGGGTACACAGCAGCTCCGATGATTCGGTTTTTGTATGCATGGAAGACTAGGTTTACACGGTTGTTCACTCTGAGCATGTCCTTTAATGAGCTCGCTATGCTGAGAGCTCCTGCAGTTGCCCCAGATTTGTTGCTCCTGCTGCTGTCGCTGGTATTACTGCTGCTGCTGCTGCTGATGGTGCCGCTGTTGCTGCTTCTGTCTTTGAGCTTGTGATAGGAGCCCATGAGGAGGAAGGTAAGCGGAACGTAAGACTGGTTCCTGGGATCCGCTGCCACGCGGCATTGCCACGTCAGCTCCTGCTGCACCAGCTGCGCTAAACGTTCATACTCCGACGGAGTTCGCACCTCGAGGCTACAGTAACGGTAGATGTTGACGCCAACGAAGACGGACAATGGACGGCCGGATTCGAAGCACAGGGGTCCTGGACCCCAGGGATCGGACGGCGAGTGGCGGCACTGGAACACCACCTCGTCGCCCTCCTTGTAAACGGACGGCACGGATGGGTCCACGTGGGATGCGTGCCTGCCTGAATGATGGAATTTTATATCAGATTTGCTGTCTTGATCGACGCCGCTGTGCACATTGCGAGCTTGGACCAAGGCAAACGGTAGATGACTTGCAATAGCGGGATGAGTTGATGAGCGAATATTTGGAATGCTGGGGACAATGACAAGGGTAAGGAGGAAGGCGAGCAGTGAACGGATCAGAAATGCGAGGGCGGAAGAGGGGGATAGGCAGCGACGCGACGGTCTGACGTATGGTGTGAGCATCGTGGTCGTATGAGGTGCTCCTCTGCCTAGTCACGACCTCCCTAATACTGCGACCGTCCAGCCAATGCTGTTGATAGCATCCCAATTTTCCGCGGAAGAAGAGCTACAACGCCTGAGCAAGGGTTGAAGCCATGCAAAGATTTGGGTGATGGTCGCTCGCTGGCGATCTGCGTGGGAAACGAGATGAGTGCAGCTTCGGCGCGGAACAGGCCAAATTGGCCAGTTTTGTCTCACATTTTTTGCGAAAGGTATGTGTAAGTGTAGGAAGAGGACCCACAAAAGTCACTTGCTCTGTTATCTTTCAGCGGGTTCTATCGAGGATGTACGGGAAGAATCACGCTAGATCAGTAGAGCAGGTGTTGAATGTGGGATGAACTAGAAGTGAACCGCATTCAAGTTTTCTCACAACGCGTATGAGCCGTCTGACAGCTGCTTCGGCAGCAGTGGCACATGCATGTGCGCTGCCGTTTCCCGCGCAGCTCATCTCTCCCCCCACCCACCCACCACTTCCACGCAACTAGTGCTGCTGGCATTCCGAGCGAGCCGCGTGGTGTTCCGCCCCCACTCACTCACACATCTCCTGCTATCGACATTCCCAAGGCCATTACCAGAGCCAAGCGAGGAATTGCACAGGAAAAGCAGCAACAGCCGAGACGCGACGTGATAGAGATCCCAGAGGAATTCAAAAACAGGCTATTCCGGTAACCTAGCACTGATTCTTTTCCTCGCTCCTGCGCCGTGGACTGTAGTTTCGTCAGCATCGCAAGCGTTCAGTGACATTGCGCTTTCGGCATTAATTATCATTCTTGTTCTCGAGTTACGTATCATAGCTTGTAAACCCGGGCCAAGCGTTAGGAGACTAGCGTTTTACCTCTCTGAGAGTTTGATGTCGCCAGCAGACCAGCGTTGACCTTACCTTGTCCCTTAGCCGATTCCGCCTGTTCTCAACAGATTTTTCTTACTTGTAGCCTACCGTTCTCGTCGCAACTTAGAAGAAAGCAAAGCAAAGTCGAAGGTTCGCTCCTGACAGATACTAGGACTATACTCTGTCCGATGAACACGCCGACATTGCTTCCAGTAGCATGCGGTCTTCTCCGGCATCATAAAGTCGACCCTGATACAACGTCGGCTATGCCCTCGATACCGTTGTTGAAGCATCTCTAAGCTAGATCGGTAGCCGGACGGAGCACCGGATGGTCCACGAGCCAACGCGTCGCGGCACCATGGCCCGACAATTACAGCCGCGCTTCGTCTCCACGCCGCTGATCGTGTTCAGCATATCGCTCTCCCTCACAATCTCCTCACTCACTCTCAGTCCTGCAACAGCAGAGTCCACTCATGTTTCTCCCAAGCGACGCATTCGAAGACTGCTCGACCTAGTCAGTAACCCCCTCGGCGGGTCCATCCCCTCCTCATTCTTCAGTGCGACGCCGACCTCTGCGGCAGCGCAGCGCGTGCTGCTGGGCCAGGCTCTAGGCGCGGAGCCCGCGGCGTCGACTCAGCTATCGTCTGTGCAATCCTCTGTTGTACTGGCGAGCGATCAGTCATTGCGACAGTCGCCAGAAGAGTCGCTAAGACAGTCGCTAGGGCAGACGACAAAACAGTGGCTAGAACAGTCATCAGGGCAGTCGTCAGAACAGTCGCTAGAACAGTCGCCAGGACAGACGACAAAACAGTGGCTAGAACAATCATCAGGGCAGTTGCCAGAACAGGTCGAACAGTCGTTAGAACAGTCGTCGGGGCAATCGTCAGAACAGTCGTCTGATGAGTCGCCTGTCATGCTCCCTGCAGCATCCGCAACGAAAGCTTCAGCATTGAAGCCGCACGACGCCACGTGGACCGCGCTGCACAACAAGTACGCTAGAACCGCCGGTCTGCTGCCGTCAGCTGACGTCATCTTTTTCGGCGATTCGCTCACGGAGGTACGCAGCAGAGCGGCCGTCGAAATCGAGGCGCTGATGATCGCAGCTTGCCTCTGCCAGTGCAATCTTGAACCATTGGCGAGCCGGTTGTTGTAGCCATGGCGGTTCTCGCGACGAGAGCCGAGACCTTGCAGCCCAATTCATGGTCTGACGAATTGGTCACGTCTCGTAAAGCGTGTATCACTTTTGTAAAATTCTGTTACAAGCATAGACTTTTCATGGTAGCACGCTCATTCGCGCTGGTTTCTCGGCATCCCCCGTGTTTGTCGCGTCAACGTGGACAGGGCTGGCTCGGCACGTTCAAGGGAGCGTCGACCGGTCTCTACGCGGGTGTGAGGTCAGTCCCCTTGTCGCCCAGTCGCACTCGCACAGCCTCCGGAAATTCGTCGCCATCGTCGCATGTCGCAGATCGTCGCAGTCATGGTTGCCGCAGTGATAGTTTTGTCCTCGTTTGTCAAGATGCCGGTCTTTCCTGATCCATTTATAAAGCCTCAGCGTATGCAGAAGCCGACGCAGTGCTTTCTCAACCACACCCCTTCGGCCATTGCGATCTCTGCTCATCCTACTCTTACCAACACGTCCGCTCCCGCCTTCCCATCTTCCCATGTTTCTCGTTTGCGCTTACGCCCGCTTTTGCTGTTGCTCTCCCTTTTTATGTTTGACCCCCCCATCCGCGTGTCCGCGCCAGGGGCGTGTTCGAGTCGGTGAAGGCGACGGTGGGTGCGACGACCGTGCAGGCGTTCGGCATCGCAGGCGACACTGTGGACGACGTGCGCGAGAGAATCGAGGTGCGCTGACCGCCATGTGTGCGCCATGTGTGCGCCATGTATGCGCCATGTGAGTTCCATCAGTGTGTGTGTGTGTGTGTGTGTGTGTGTGTGTGTGTGTGTGTGTGTGTGTGTGTGTGTGCGCGCGCGCGCGCGCTCGTGCGTGTGAGAGTCTCTGTGGGTGTGTACACGTGGCGCGTGCATGTCAGTGTCTGCCTAAGGCCGCAGCCTGCCGTGTAATTCCTCCTCCCCCTTCTCCTCTCCTTCCCCTCTCCTCCCCCTTCTCCTCTCCTTCCCCTCTCCTCCCCCTTCTCCTCTCCTTCCCCTCTCCTCCCCCTTCTCCTCTCCTTCCCCTCTCCTCCCCCTTCTCCTCTCCTTCCCCTCTCCTCCCCCTTCTCCTCTCTTTCCCCTCTCCTCCCCCTTCTCCTCTCCTCCCCCTCTCCTCCTCCTTCTCCTTCTCCTGCTTAAGTCTTCTAAATCTTCTCTTCCTTCTCCTCCTCCCCGCCAATCAAATGGCAGGGCGGCGAGTTCCCCCCATCGCTGCAGCTGCGAGTAGCAGTGGTGTGTGTGGGGATCAACGACGTGCTGGAGTATCCGAGTCGACTCAAAAGTCGCCTCCCATGCTTCTAAATCTCCTACTACTCCTCCTCTCCGCTTCACATGCAGGGCGGCGAGTTCCCCCCATCGCTGCAGCTGCGCGTGGCGGTGGTGTGTGCGGGGATCAACGACGTGCTGCAGGGGAGAACCAGCGCCGCCACCATGGCCTCCAAGGTACGCATGCAGCCACACGTCATTGCAGCCACACGTCATTGCAGCCACACGTCATTGCAGCCACACGTCTTCTCCATCTCCCCTCACATTCCTGCCTCGCCCATCGTTTCCTTCCCTCCCCCTCCATCCCTCCCCGTGCATCTCCCACCCTCCATCCCTCCCCGTGCATCTCCCACCCTCCATCCCTCCCCGTGCATCTCCCACCCTCCATCCCTCCCCGTGCATCTCCCACCCTCCATCCCTCCCCGTGCATCTCCCACCCTCCATCCCTCCCCGTGCATCACTCCCCCTCCGTCCCTCCCCAACCATCCCACCCGCGTCCAGGTGGCATCGCTGGCGATCAGTGTGCGCAAGGCACACCCCTCCACCTCCGTGCTCGTGCTGGGGCTGCTACCCGAGGTGAGAGCACCGCACTGGGCTGCTACCCGAGGTGAGAGCACCGCACTGGGCTGCTACCCGAGGTGAGAGCACCGCACTGGGCTGCTACCCGAGGTGAGAGCACCGCACTGGGCTGCTACCCGAGGTGAGAGCACCGCACTGGGCTGCTACCCGAGGTGAGAGCACCGCACTGGGCTGCTACCCGAGGTGAGAGCACCGGACTGGGCTGCTACCCGAGGTGAGAGCACCGCACTGGGCTGCTACCCGAGGTGAGAGCACCGCACTGGGCTGCTACCCGAGGTGAGAGCACCGCACTGGGCTGCTACCCGAGGTGAGAGCACCGCACTGGGCTGCTACCCGAGGTGAGAGCACCGCACTGGGCTGCTACCCGAGGTGAGAGCACCGCACTGGGCTGCTACCCGAGGTGAGAGCACCGCACTGGGCTGCTACCCGAGGTGAGAGCACCGCACTGGGCTGCTACCCGAGGTGAGAGCACCGCACTGGTGCCTCTGTTTATGGATCATGAGTGATGTTACGCCGATGCTGCGTTCTCCCATAACTTTCTATGTGTCATCACGTCAGTTTTGAGGCGCCTAAGAAATGAGCAACGTGTTACGCCGTTGATGCCCGTTCTCCCATTACTTTCCGTGTGTCATCATATCATGAGTCTACCATGAGTCATGATGAGTGAAACATCTGCTGTGGTTTTCTTTTGACCGATCGTCGCTCATCTGTTGTTTTCATCTGACCCACCGTTTCAGGCGGCCATGAGCAAGAACGTGTCACTGCCTGACCCTGTGCCTGCTCAAGTGAACGTCATCCTCGCCTCCACTCTCAAACCAGGTACAGACTTGGGTATGACGTGGCACTCGCTGATTCGTGGCTGGCAGCATTGCAAATAGACCCGCTGCAAGCTGCTCTTCAAATTGCGTGGGGCAGGCAGGAGATGTGCGGTGCCTCAGAACATGGCCAGCATCAGAACAGTATCCTCTGCCCATCCCTCTCTTCTCACTCCCTTCATCTCTCGTCCTCTCTCTCATGTTGCCCCTTTCCCTCCGTCGTTGCCCCCCTGCACTGGACGGGGTGTTGTTCCTCGACTCCTCATAACTGCAGTCTCCTTGTCACCCTCTTCTCATTCATCTCCCCTCCTCTCCCTCCTGTTCCCCACTCGCTCCATCGCTGTCCCCCACAGTGGACGGGGTGTCGTTCCTCGACTGCTCATCTGCCTTCACCAATCCAGGGGGCTCCATCAATGCAGCAGCCTACGCACCTGTGAGTTGCGTTGCGAGAATTGAGGTGATTTTTGAGGCGCCTCAAAACATTGAGGTGTTTTTTTAGGTGATTTTCGAGGCGCCTCAAAACATTGAGGTGTTTTTTTAGGTGATTTTCGAGGCGCCTCAAAACATTGAGGTGTTTTTTTAGGTGATTTTCGAGGCGCCTCAAAAAGTTGATTTTTGAGGCGCCTCCAAAATCACCTCAATGAACCGGGAATGCACCGGGGGGCTCCATCAATGCAGCAGCCTACGCACCTGTGAGTTGCGAGCTTGAGTTCCTCTTGCGGCAGATGAGCACCCGCCACTCTCCCCATGCCCACCCCTCCCTACTGCACTGCATGCCTCCCCGCAGCACCCCTTCCCCGCAGCACCCCTTCCCCGCAGCACCCCTTCCCCGCAGCACCCCTTCCCCGCAGCACCCCTTCCCCGCAGCACCCCTTCCCCGCAGCTACCCTTCCCCGCAGCACCCCTTCCCCGCAGCTACCCTTCCCCGCAGCTACCCTTCTCCGCAGCACCCCTTCCCCGCAGCACCCCTTCCCCGCAGCACCCCTTCCCCGCAGCACCCCTTCCCCGCAGCACCCCTTCCCCGCAGCACCCCTTCCCCGCAGCTACCCTTCCCCGCAGCACCCCTTCCCCACAGCACCCCTTCCCCGCAGCACCCCTTCTGCTACCTCCTCTCTCACCTGCAAGTCGCAAGGCATGGTATGCTCTTCTGCCGTTTATGTCGGCCATGCTCAGGCCACCACCCGGCTCCCATCCCCGCCCCTCCTCCGCCCTCTTGTGCCGCGGTACTCTGTGCCCCCCACAGGACTCCTTCTGCGGGATACAAGGCTTGAACACCCTACCCCCACCCCCCTTTCCCCTCCTTCTTGTCTGCTCTGTGTGCCCTTCCCCCACAGGACTCCTTCCGCTACCTGCACCTCTCAGCTGCGGGCTACAAGGCATGGTCGGCGTGCTTCACACCACAAGTCAAGACCATGCTCAAGTGAGATGGGGGGTGGTGCTGTGCGGTGCCAGGGAACTGCAAAGGATGGGTGTGTGAGTGAAGGGGAGGCACAGGAATTTAGTGAAGGTTGCTGTGCTCCAGCTCTGTTTAGTTTTGAGAAGTCTCAAAGTTATGAGACATCTCGAAAGAGTTTTGAGGCGTCTCGAAAGAGTTTTGAGACGTCTCAAATGTAGAGGCACGTGAATTTAATGGAGACTGGCAGTGCTCCAGCTCTGTTCAGTGTCCGCTCTTCACTCATTCCCAAGTCGCGCCTTCTCTCTTCCCCCTCTCCCTGCCTTCATTATCCTCCAATCCCACACCGTCCCACCCCACCCCACTCCACCACACCCCACCCCACCGCACCCCATCCACAGAGAAGCATCAGCCAGCCCAGCCGTACCCACGTCCCCCGCCCGCACGCCCTCCACCCCTCCCCTCGCCACCGCACCTCCCTCCAAGCCCTCGCCTCCGCCTCTCAAATCACCCCCCACCCCCTCCCCTGTGCCATCTAACTCGTCCCCTCGCAAGCCCTCGCAGCACCCACCAAAGGAGAGGGGGGCACCGTCCGTCAATGCAACGAAATCAAAGTCACCACCCTCCAAAACGTCTCCCACCAAATCCCCTCCCACCAAAGCCCCTCCCTCCAAACCTCCTCCTTCCGTGTCTCCTCCTTCCAAAAAAACTTCCGCCAAAGCACCCCCGTCCAAAGCCCCGCCCTCCAAGGCACCCCCATCCAAAGCTCCCCCGTCCAAGCCCCCCCCCCAACCATCATCCTCCCCATCAAAGCCCTCCACAGTCAAGGCCCCCCCGGCTGCGCCCTCTCTCCCCTCCCCTGCTGCTCCCTCCCTGCCATCAGTGCCCCTCCCCCCTCCTTCCCCATCTAAGCTTCCCGCCGCCTCTAAACCCAACCACACTTCCGATTCGCCTGCCAAGCTCCCTGCTGCCAAGCCCTCTGTTTCAAAAAGCCGTTCCCCTCACAAGTCCCATGAAAAGAAGGAGACTCCCAAGCATCCTCCCTATAAGCATGTCCCGTCAAAGGAGCCACCAGCATCTGACCTCCCTCCACCCGCCTCAGAGCCTCTTCCCAACAAAACGAGTAGTAAAAGCCCAAACACTGGGTCTAAACCCGCAAATCACCCGTCCGAACCTGCTGCTGAATCCGGTCCCAAGTCGTTCAAGCCTGGACAAAACACCTCCGAGCCTGAACCGAGCCATTCTGATCCCGAGCCTGGCGTTTCAAAGCCTGCGGGTGGTTCCTCCGAGCCAAGAGGCAGTTCATCCGAACCTGAGCCGATTCCTTCCGAGGCAGATGGCTCGTCAGGTTCGGGGATCAAGAGGATGAAAGGGCGAGACCCTAAGCACCCGTACGAGCCCGGGGGGAGGAGCAGTGGGGGTGGGGGAGACTGGCGGAATGGAAGCAGTGGGTCGAATGGTAGTAGTGGTGATGGTGGCCGTGGCAGCGGTGGTGGTGGTGGCAGTGGTGAGGGTAGTGATGGTGGTGATGGTGATGATGGTGGTGGCGGTGGTGGCAGCACTGGAAATGGGACGAATGGGAATGTGACACATGGGGATATGACACATGGGAATGTGACACGTGGCAATGAGACGAATGGGAATATCACGGACGGCAATGTGACGGGTGGGAGCAGAGGGCCTACAGTAGCAAATCCAGTGGAGAAGCAACCAGCCTCTGACACCGTGCCATCTGCCCTGGCTAATCTGCCCCCTGTTTCTGTGAGTCCCGTGCCCTGTTACTGTGTTTCTGTTATCAAACGTGGCAGTGCTTTGGCAGTTCATATGACTCTTTGTGCTGCGCTTGCGTCGTCTGATTATCAGCATCAGCATGAGCAAGAGCACGATCATGAGTTCATTCTGAAAACCGTGCTCTTCTTAAACTTTACCCTCTCTTTCCCATTTTTCCCTGTTTTTTTTTCTCTTCTTCTTTGTTTCTTTTTTTCACCTCCCCAGGCTCCGCTCCCACCTCTACCTCCTCCTCTCTTGCCAGATCCTCGCCCCAAGCTGCTTCCTCCCATCGCTATCCCATCCTTACGAGCCCCCTCTGCACCCGCTCATTCCCATCTGCCAGCGCTTGTGGTCCCTCCCCAAACGCCAGCGGCACCCGCATCATTACCACCACCAACACGAATACCAAAATCAATCCCAACGCCACTGCCACTGCCCACGGTAGCGCCAGCATCAGCACCCCTTCCTGTCACACCTGTAGTCCCGCCTGCCCTGTCGCCCAACCCGCCTGCCCCTGCTCCCTCATCCTCCCCAACCCCCACACCCGCCTCTCTGCCCAAAGTAGCGCCCACCCCTCTTGCCCCTCTCACCCCCCAACCAGTGCCTGCTAGACCTCCCCTCGCATCTCCCACCCCCACTCCTAATCATATTCCTAGATCGAACCCTGCTGCGCCGGATACTCCTACTTCTGCGACCCGAGCACCGCTTGCAGTGCCGATCGTACCAACTGCGGTTGGCTCAAATCCTCAGTCGCCAATGGAGACAAATCCTTCAAATAGTAACATTCCTACTACACCTGCTGTCAGAGATGCGGAAATGCCAGGATTTGCAGCTGTGAGCAACTCTGCACCGCCTGTCGTCCCGTTCTGGCCTCCGAGTAAAGGAGCGATGAATATACTACAAAGAAGGAATGACCTGTACACGTTTTTAGCGATTCTCGTTATGTCAATCTTTTTCTGTTAATGATGTATATGCCGATAGATTTTTGGATCATCTATTCGAAGGAGGAAACCTAGCACCTCCCTCCTCTGTATTTATATATTAGTATATTTCTTCTCTAGTACAAAGTGCATTGTATTTTACGTTTGGACCCAATCCCCTCTCGTCGAAGCGAGCAACATTCTATCGCAGCATGTCTGGCAACTCCCCAGACCAGACAGGACCCGCCTGATTCGGGAATTGCAGGACTGATAACTGACAGCAGCAACGCATACAAAGCATTGCCGAGTGAGTAGATACTGTAGAGAGCGAGTCCTGTGTGCAGTTGATCGTGAGTCTTCAGTAGTGGGCAGTGAGCGCACAACAAGCAGGTCAGCTTCGAAACCTTTCACGCATGCTTGCGGTTTTAGAATGCGCGGTGCGTCGCGCCAGTCTCAGCGACCCTCCCAGGCGCGTTGCAGTCGTCTGTTAGATTGTCTCCTAATCGGCAATCCCGGTGGAGCCTCGTCGTCCTTCTACAACGTCAACCTCGTTAACCCCTAGACTCTTTCAGCTCTTCCCTGCTCCATGGCCCGTCTTGTCGGCGCTCTCGACTCTTCAGGTCTCGACGGCCTCGCGCGACGCGCTCGTCAACTCCAAGGCTCTAGCTCTCTGACCCGGTAGCTGCTCCTAGTCGGCCGATTCAGTCTGATTTAGTCCCACCTGCTTTAGCTCACTGACACGGTTCAGTGCGATTCCGTGCGGTCGAATTTAGTATTGGGATTTGATACATGGCGGCATCCGCGGCGCCGTCGCCGCGGTGGCTGTGTCAGAGGTGCGGCACGCGGCTCGAGGTCACCGGGCTCGACGGCCTCGCGCTCGGCGCGTCCTCGCTCAGCCAATCAGCGGCGGACGCGCTGGGCGCGTCGCGATGCGGCGCGCAGCACGCCGCCGCGAATTCCGTGTCAATGCTGGATCAGTCGTTCGTCGTCCTGCCGCCCAACTCCTCCGCGTTTCACGGCGCGTCTTACGGCACCCCTCACGCGCCTCGTCATGGAGCCGCTGGTGGGGCGATCCGACCGTCAATTAATCCCGCGATCAGTGCTCCGCCGTTGATTCCACGTCCCCCTACAGGCAGTCCCGTTACCGCGAGTTCTGGTGCTGTTCCTGCCGCGTCTGTCGCCGTCTCTCCCGCTGCGGGCTCAGCTGGTGCATCAAACCCATCGTCCATCCCAGAAGAGCAGCAGCCTCAGCCGCAGGATCAGACCCAAGAGCATCCCCAGCAAAGGTCATCAACGGCTGAGATTCAGTCTCAGAGTTGGTCTCAACTTCAGGTTCAATCTCAGCTTCATCCGCAGCAGCATCAGCCGCCACCAATCAGAGCCACGCATCCGCCAACCGTTGGTGGACACGTGGCCTTCCCATCACACGCCGCCTTCCAGTCGCCGTTGGGTCGCAGGGGTGAGACTCTTACCGAAGAGAGTGTTTACGGCATATAATAGGGTCTGAGACTCTCACTGTGACGTGAGTGCAGGTGAAGACACGCGGAATTGTACTTCGTCTGTGTTGCATGTTGTGCCGCACCTGTTGCTCTTGTGGTAATTCTCATCACTGCTCTCTGCTTCGCTCCCTTGCTTCTCACCTACCTCCCATCTCTACTTGTCTCCCCTGCGCTCCTCCCCTGCGCCCATCAGCGCCCCCCGCGCGTCTGGACGAGTCGTTCGTGGTGCTACCTGGCTCGGCTGCTTTTGGTAGTACCCATCACCTCTGCCTCTTACACGCCTTGTGTTCTCGCCTACCTCTCCTTTGCTCCTCCCTCTCGCTTCCCCCGTTCCGCCCCTCCAGCGCCCCCCGCCCGTCTGGACGAGTCTTTTGTGGTGCTACCCGGCTCGGCTGCTTCTCTCTACGCCCCTCCTCCTGCCCTCCCCCACGCGCCCTCCTCCTCCTCGCACGCCCGCCCCTCTCCCCACACCCACCCCTTCCCCCTTCCTCCCACCATGTCCGGTGCTGCTGCTAACGCACCTGCACCTGCTGCTATCCCTCCTTCCTCACCCGCTGCTGCTGCCACCGCTGCTGGTGCCGCTCGCACTGGCGTCTCTGCGAGTTCTGCATCTCCCTTGTTGTCACAAGGAGGGGTGGCAGCAGCCGTAGCCGTGACTGCAGCAGCTGCTGCTGCTGGTGCTGGTTCTGGTGCTGGTGCTGCTGGTGCTGCTGGTGCTGCTGCTCCGTCCTCTGTCTCTCAATGCTACCGAGGCGAGGGCACAGGTTCAGAACAGGTGCTGCCTGAGAATGTGACGGTGGGAATCGGTTCAAAAGGGTTTGTTGCTGATGCGGAGAGAGGGAGAGGAGGGAGTGAGGAAAAAGAAAGGAGGGGAAACGTGGAGGAGGAAAGGAGAGAGAGCGAGGAGCGGGAGGGTGAAAGAGGGGATGGTATGAGAGGAGGGCCGGAGAGAGGAGGCGATAGAGAGGAGGATCAAAATGATGCTGAGGGTGACGATAGCGAAAGTGGAGAGCAGCAACAGCAGCAGCAAGAACAACAACAGAAACAGCAGCAGCAGCAGCAGCAGCAATTCAAAGAGAGAGGCAGTGAGAGGGGGGCAAGGGAGGTGCAGGCAGGGGGGGGTGGCCTGGCGGGGCAGATAGAGGCGGTGGATCGAGTGTTTGACCTGGTGGCTCTGAGGACCAAGGTGGAGATGCCCCTCTGCTGCCACTGCGCCCACCACGTCTGTCGCGAAATTGATGCTCAGGTGCAGTGCGGTGGAGTGCGGTGCAGGGTGGTGGGGTACGGTGCGATTGCATGTGGTGCGGTGCGGTGGGGTGGGGTGTGGTGGGGTAAGACGTGGTCTGTTGCGGTGGAATGAGGTGGGGCTTTCTGGCGGGGCAGATAGAGGCGGTGTTTGACCTGGTGGCTCTGAGGACCAAGGTGGATCCATCCATCCATGGTTGTGTTTGGGCGTACCGATGTTCTTTTGCATCTTTCCATTAGCTTATCCCTCCACGTGTCCATCGCTCCCTCCCTCCATGCCTGCATGCATATGTGCAGGTGAGGGAGGCAGAGGAAGAAATAGCAGCGTACGAAGCAGCACTGCAATCCATCCTTGCCTCCGCCCCCTCCCCCTCGGCCGCCGCACACCACCCCTTCTCGGTCAACCATGCGAGTCCTCTGTTCGCGCCCACTGCCGCTGGGGCTCCCATGGGAGAGGACGCGTTCAGGCACCACATGGCCGAGGTGAGACGGCTCTTGCTCTCCCTGCCATGCTTCGTACTTGGCACTTGCCGTGCGTTACACTGCCAGGCCCATCCGCGTTTAGATGCAACACCCGTGTCGTCGTATGTGTGATAAGTCGAGACATGTGACATGTGAGTCGACTAGTTCTGAGCCGACTCAAAACTCGACTTATCACACACGCCTTTAGATGCAACACCCGTGCCGTCGTATGTGTCCCATGTCATCTACCCATCCCATCCCATCCCATGCTGTGGCACGGCATGGCAACAGGTGGAAGAGGAGGAGAGGCGGCTACAGCAGGAGGCGGAGGAGCTGGAGCAGCAGAGGGCGCAGCTGCGGGCGCAACTGGGGGAGGTGGAGGCGGAGCAGGCTGAGCTGGATGCTGCTGTCGAGAGGTGCGTGGGGTAGGGGCGGGTTAAAGGGGGAGTGTTGTGAGTCCACTCAAAGCACACCTGGGGGCGCAGCTGGGGGAGGTGGAGGCGGAACAGGCTGAGCTGGACTCCGCTGCGGAGAAGTGCGGATGGAAGGGGAATGGGGGTTAGACATAGGAGAAGGATGTGAGGGTAGGGTAGGAGATAGAGTGAGTGTTTTGAGTCGACTTAAAACACACTTGAGCACACAGCTGAGAGCACAGCTGGGGGAGGTGGAGGCAGAGCAGGCTCAGCTGGATGCTGCGGAGGAGAGGTGGGGAGAAAACTGTGGGCTGGGGGATAGAGGGTAGAGAGAGGGGGCATGGTTATGGCGTAGATTAGAAGGAGGATGGATGAACGGATGGGTGGGAAGACAGGTGGAGAAGGGAAAACAGCTCCTTGCAATGGGGAAACTGGCGAGGCAACTGGTGTGGCATGTTCATGTTCGGAAAACTGATGAGCTGGATTTTCCACCTTGGACTCTCTCCTTTCCATCCACCCAACCCCCCACCCACACTTGCTATGGCTGGCAGGTACTGGCACGAGTTCAACGAGTTCCAGTACCAAGTGTCCGTGCACCAGGTGAGGTGATTATGTAGCTATTTCCTGAGGTGCGTCCAGTGAGGTGCGTCCAGTGAGGTGCGTCCAGTGAAGTGCATCCAGTGAAGCGCGTCAGGCGAGGTTACACCAGGTGAAAAAGACCCCAGGTGGCCATTCAGGTGAAAAAGACCCCAGGTGGCCATCCAGGTGAAAAAGACCCCAGGTGGCCATCCAGGTGAAGGCTTCCGGTATTCATCTGGTCTGGATGGGGTTGGCAGCAGCGCAGTCGGACGCGTTGAGGCGCAGCTTTGTGCTCAACGACGCTCAACGGCGCATTCCACATCTGGCACGACGGGGACTTCACTTGTATGCCAGCATCCAGTTGTATCCCTCCCTCCCCCCCACACCCCCCACCCACCGCCCTTGTGTCATGACCATCTCAGGAGGCGAGGGATGGGCTACTGGCGTCCATAGAGGTGGCAGCAGCGCAGTCAGATGCGTTGAGGCGCAGCTTTGTGCTCAACGACGCATTCCACATCTGGCATGACGGGGACTTCGGCACCATCAACAACCTGCGCCTCGGCCGCCTGCCATCCGTGCCCGTGAGTGTGTTGTGGTGTGGTGTGGTGTGGTGTGGTGCGAGATTGGCCTCCGTGCCTGTGAGTGAGAGGGATGGCTGCTGTCCGTGCCTGTAAGTGCGTACTGGGTTCACTCTCAGTGCTGGAGCCTTCCACATCGGGCACGATGGGGACTTAAGTGCCATCAACAACCTGCGCCTCGGCCCTCGGTGCCCGTGAGTGTGCTCTGGGGCTAGACCAGAATGCTTTCTGTGCCAGTGAATGTGAGCAAAAGCTGCTGTCTGTCTGTGTCTGTGTGTGTGTGCGAGTGCGGTCTGAGTCCACGCAAGGGTCATGTCCGGCTATTGGCACGACGGGGACTTTGGCACCATCAACAACCTGAGACTCGGCCGCGTGCCCTCCCTCTGCGCCCGTGAATGTGAGGGGCCGTTGCCGCGCCGCCTGTGCCTGTGAGCGTTTTCTAGTGGACTTGGAGGCATGCGGAGGGTTTTCACTCTGGCATGCGGAGGGTTTTTCACTCTGTGGATCTATCCACATCACTCTGCCCTCCCCATCTGTTTGCTGCCTTGCCCTGTCTCTCCTCCTCCCTTTGCCTGGTCCGCAGGTGGAGTGGGAGGAGCTGAACGCGGCATGGGGGCAGGCGTGTCATTTGCTCTTCACACTCGCCCGCATTGCCAACTGCCCCGTCGCGTAATGCACCTTCCACCCACAGGGTGTGATGAGTCGATTTTTGAGTCGACTCAAAAATCTACCCACCCACAGGCTCTTTCCTCTGCTCTCTCACGGCCCGCACTGCCCAGCACCACAAATTTCCCAGCAGTGGGGTTCGCCCGACAGCGCTGCAATTCAACACCTACTGCGGCTTATTCGCCCTGCCCCTGTCGTACTATCACTCGTCTGTAGTCCGTTTGTGAATCTTACTTTTGAGACTACAGACGAGTAAGACTCGTAAGTAAGACTCCAGTCTCAAAAGTAAGACTCGTAAGTAAGACTCCAGTCTCAAAAGTAAGACTCGTCTGTATGTAGTCTGTGTGTGGCCTGTCTTTAGCATTACAGAATTATCAACTCTAATCCTCGTCACCTCCTCACCTCTCCGCCTTCGACCTCACAGCCATTCCCTTCACGTCCTTGCCACCCCCCAACCCCTTTTCCCCCGCTTCTTCCCTGCGATTCAATCATATTCGTTCCGTCTATCTTCCCTGTCTCCTGTCTCCATCTGCGTGTGCCCCTCCGCCTGCTGTGTATCCCCCTCGCCTCCTGGCCCCTGGCAGGCATCGCATCATCCCCATGGGAAGCTTTCCTCGAGTCTCTGACGGCCATAACCAGTTTGAGCTGTACGTGCTTGTATGAAGAAGTGTTTTAAGACGTCTCAAAACACTTCTTCATAGACGTGACGGCCACAACCAGTTTGAGCTGTACGTGCTTGCCATGTGCTCGGATCATGTGCTTGCCATGTGCTCGGATCATGTGCTTGCCATGTGCTCAGCTCACGCGCTTGCCATGTGCTCAGCTCACGCGCTTGCCATGTGCTCGGATCATGTGCTTGCCATGTGCTCGGATCATGTGCTTGTCATGTGCTCGGATCATGTGCTTGCCATGTGCTCAGCTCACGCGCTTGCCATGTGCTCTGCTGTGCTGCTGCTGTTGGAATAGCACACATGCAACGCCACACATGCATCATAGCACACATGCAACGCCACACATGCATCATAGCACACACATCAACTCTAGCATCCCTCCCTCATCCCCACACCATATTACGCCTGCCATCCCACTTCCTTTTCCCTATCACCAGCTTTAGTCTATTAATCTGGAGCGCTCATAAACTCGTATATGACCATGTGTGACATGTATGAACTCGTGTATAACTCCCTCATCCTCAAATCAAACTGCTTCATCACTTCCTTCCTTCCCCCTCACCAGCTTCGGTCCAGTGAATCTGTTTTGGAGCACGCGCTACGACCGGGCCATGCTGCTCCTCCTGCACGCCCTCACGGAGTTCGCTTCTTCTTAGGCGCCTTCTGAGTCGACTCAAAAGTCCCCTCACGGAGTTCGCTTCTTCTTAGGCGCCTATATAACCTCGATCCCTGCCCCCGCACCCACTTGCTCCCTCCCCCTTCCTCCCCCCCCCCCCTCACCAGCTTCGGCCCAGTGAATCTGTTTTGGAGCACTCGTTACGACCGGGCAATGCTGCTCTTCCTGCACGCCCTCACGGAGTTTGCCGCCTTTGCCAATGCACACGACCGTGCCAACCACCTCCCGCCTGAAAAGTCCTTCCAGCTGCCCTACAAGTGAGTGTCAAATCTCTAAAAAAATCTCCTTTGGCAACAACCAACCAACACTTTTATGCTCCCCTTTTGCTTCAGTCAATTAATCACTCCCTCCTCCTATGGACCATGCTTTCTTCATCCACCAATGCACCTCCCCCCTCCCCTCCTCCTCTTCTTTTTTCCCTACCCCTCACCTCCTTCTCCCACTGTCCCCCTCCTCCATGCAGGATCGAGGGGGACAAGATCCAAGGGCTGACAGTGAAGCAGAGCTTCAACCAGGAGGAGAGGTGGACCAAGGTGCTCCCCCTCTCCCCTCCCCCATTATCTCCTACCTTGCTTGCACTCTTCTCCTCCCAACCTCCCCTGGTCTCAGGATCGAGGGGGACAAGATCCAAGGGCTGACGGTGAAGCAGAGTTTCAACCGGGAGGAGCGGTGGACCAAGGCACTCAAGGACCTGCTGTGTGACCTCTGTTCCCCCTTCCCCCCTCCCTTGTTCCCCCGTTCCTCCTTCCCCCCTCCCCCTCTCCCCCTTCCCCACCCCCCCCTCGTTCCCCTGTTCGCCCTTCCCCCCTCCCCCGTTCCCCGTTCCCCCCATCTCCACCACCCCCTCTCCCGTCCAGGATCGAGGGGGACAAGATCCAAGGGCTGACAGTGAAGCAGAGTTTCAACCGGGAGGAGCGGTGGACCAAGGCACTCAAGTACCTGCTGTGCGACCTCAAATGGGCGCTCGTGTGGACCATGACCAACTTCCACCCACCACTGCCCACGCCGCCACCTGCTATCCTGAACCTAGTTACACACCTTGACCAGAACAGCGCACCCTAGCTCGAGGCAGCGTTGTGAGGCGCCTCACAGAGCGCTCAAGTACCTGCTGTGCGACCTCAAGTGGGCGCTCGTGTGGTGTGGACCATGACCAACTTCCACACTCCTCTCCCTACGCCGCCACCTGCCATCCTCAATCTAGTTTCGCACTTCGACCCAGCCTGACCTCCAACTAGACCCGCTCTAACTGGCGGTGGTTGGTCCGCCGTGCTCTGTCGGAGTACCTGCTGTGTGACCTCAAGTGGGCACTCGTGTGGACCATGACCAACTTCCACCCACCGCTCCCTGCCCTGCCCCGTCCTCAGCCATCCCTAACCTGTTCTCACATCCTGAACCCCTCAACTCAACTCACCCTAGTCTTGCGACCAACCCCCCTCCACCTGGCTTCATCCTCTCACTCTCAGCGCAGCTCGAGTGTCTCATCCTCAACCGACGTTAACGTATATCAATTTATCGTACTGTAGATTGGAAGAGACTAATCTATCCATGTACATACAGCTGGTAAAGAAGGTACTCATTTGAGCACACTGGTCACATCACTCCTTCCTCCTCCCCCCACTGACAGAAACTACTGCATTGAGTCCAAAGACTTTCATTTACTACTTCTGAGGCGCCTCAAAAGGCATCCACCGATTGACCTGCGTATCGTGCTGCAGTTGCCCCTCCACTTTACGTGCATAAGCACCGTAGTGCACTGAACTTCCATCTTTCCATTGATAATCCCAACAGACCAGCATTCCCCTTCACATCACACACTTGACACCCACCCGCAGCTCGTGGTGAGGCTTCAAGCTTAGAGATCCTCTAGCCTTAACTTCACTTCACTCCTAACATAAGCCGTACAGAATAGCAATCTCCAGGACAGAGCTACCGTATCCCTTCCTTACTCTTGTGCTCCTGTTGCATCCCGCCGCACCCTCACTAGCCTTATCACTCAGCAGCATGCAGCACGCTATGCAGCACGCTATGCAGCATGCTATGCAGCATGCTATGCAACATCGAGAACTGGGGTTTCCCTCTCCTTGCGCTCTTCCACCATCTCCCAACCCACCACCCCCCCACCCACCCCACCCAACACTCTTCTTGCATCACCCACCCCACCGCCCCCCCGCCTCAGCAGCCAAGGCACCCTGTACAGCCTCAGCAACAGGGACTTCCTTCTCCTTGCGCCCTCCCTGCATCACCTCAGCCTCTGTCTTGCTTGCGCCCCTTCTTTGACTGGTAATACACGCCCATGAACGTGCCCACTGCTTGCTTTGCATACGCTGCATCCCGTCCCCAACCCCAACACCTCCACCACGACCCACACCTCAGTAACCACGGCACCCTAAGCAGCCCCCAGCACCCTAAGCAGACTCCGCAATGGCAACTTCCTTCTCCTTGCGCTCCTCCTGCAATACCTCTGCCTCTGTCTTGCGCCCCTTCTTTGACTTGTAATACACGCTCATGAACGTGCCCACTGCTTGGTACTTCTCCCGGCACGCAGCATAGAGGGACGCGTCAAACATGCGCCAGAAGTCCCGCTCGTTCAGCTCTGTGACTGCATAGAGCGCCTGGTGGGGGAAGGGGGGGAGGAGGGGAGAGGCAGGGGGAGGGTTGAGAGAAAGGACGCTCATGAACGTGCCCTCTGCGCTGCACTTCTCCCGGCACGCAGCATACAGGGAGGCGTCAAACATACGCCAGAAGTCCCGCTCGTTCAGCTCTGTCACCGCATACAGGGCCTGATGGGAGAAGAGGGGGAGAGCGGGGAGATGCAGGGGGCAATGGTGGAGAGAAGGGACGACACGCTCATGCTCATGAACGATCCCACTTATCCGTACTTCTCCCGACATGCCCCGTACAGCGACGCGTCATACATGCGCCAGAAGAGACTGATGTCTGTGAACATCTGTGCATGTGCCGTGTTTCCCTGCCGCCTGTGCTCCCAGGACCGGCCAAAACAAGCCACTGCTGCCAGCAAACACCACGCACCTGGAAAGAGGCGTTTTCGATAAGCCATTTCTCCATCCTTTGAACCGCCGCTACTCCATCGAACTCCTCCCCTCTCATTACGGCCCCCGGCGCATAGAAGAGGCCTATGTCTGTGAACATCTGTGCTGCTGCCATGTCGCCCTGCCGCCTGTGCTGTGCTGCTACCAACCCACCTGGAACAAGCCGCTGCCACCAAGCCACTTCAAACAAGCCCCTGCTGCCACCAAACACCACACACCTGGAAGGAGGCGTTCTCAATAAGCCACTTCTCCATCCTCTGCACCGCCGCTACTCCATCAAACTCCTCTCCTCGCATTGTGGCACCCGGCGCATAGTAGAGACCAATGTCTGTGAACATCCGCGCACCTGCCGTGACGCCCTGCCGCCTGCGCTGTGCTGCAACAAGCTGCTGTGACGCACCCACCTGGATTGACCCACCTGCTACAAGCTGCTGATGCCATCTGAGAGCCCTCAAAGCCCACCTGGAAGGACGCGTTCTCAATGAGCCACTTCTCCATCCTCTGAACCGCCGCCACGCCGTCAAACTCCTCTCCACGCATTACAGCCCCTGGCGCATAGTAGAGGCCTATGTCTGTGAACATCTGTGCCCTTGCTGTGTCGCCCTGCCGCCTGTGGTCCCAGAAGCCCGGCTCAGGGTTGATCATCTGCCGCATGGGGTGCGTGAAGAGGCGGTGCGGACACAACCAGATAGGGTACACCTGGGGGAGGTGGGAAGGGGGGAGTGCGGGAGGAGAGGGGAGAATGGGGGAAAGAGTGTTCGGCGCAGGTCATAAGAAGCCCGGCTCAGGGTTGATCATCTGCCGCATGGGGTGCGTGAAGAGGCGGTGCGGACACAACCAGATAGGGTACACCTGGGGGAGGTGGGGAGGGGGGAGTGGGGGAGGAGAGGGGAGAATGGGGGAAAGAGTGTTCGGCGCAGGTCATAATAAGCCCGGCTCAGGGTTGATCATCTGCCGCATGGGGTGCGTGAAGAGGCGGTGCGGACACAACCAGATAGGGTACACCTGGGGGAGGTGGGGAGGGGGGAGTGGGGGAGGAGAGGGGAGAATGGGGGAAAGAGTGTTCGGCGCAGGTCATAATAAGCCCGGCTCAGGGTTGATCATCTGCCGCATGGGGTGCGTGAAGAGGCGGTGCGGACACAACCAGATAGGGTACACCTGGGGGAGGTGGGGAGGGGGGAGTGGGGGAGGAGAGGGGAGAATGGGGGAAAGAGTGTTCGGCGCAGGTCATAATAAGCCCGGCTCAGGGTTGATCATCTGCCGCATGGGGTGTGTGAAAAGGCGGTGCGGACACAACCAGATAGGGTACACCTGGGGGAGGTGGGGAGGGGGGAGTGGGGGAGGAGAGGGGAGAATGGGGGAAAGAGTGTTCGGCGCAGGTCATAATAAGCCCGGCTCAGGGTTGATCATCTGCCGCATGGGGTGCGTGAAAAGGCGGTGTGGACACAGCCAAATGGGGTACACCTGGGGGAGGGGGAGGGGATTTGTGTGGATTGAGGAGGGAGGAGGGGTGGGGAGGTTTGGTTTGTTTGGCGCATGGGGTGTCACCGGCACATCCACACGTCCTGGCCCACTCTATCGGCCGACCCTTCCACATCTTTCCCCCTCCCCTCTCCCACCCACTAATCGCACCTCGAATTCCTGCTCGTTCAATTCGATTCGAGCGCGCCCGCCACCTTACACGGCGGCACGAGCATGTCCTGACACATTTCCCCGCAATCCCCTTCCACCCCCCCCCCTTTCCCTTTCTTCCAACTCTTTACCTTTCCGCTCTACAGCCCTCCCCGCTTCTCCCCCCCCCACTCCGCACCTCGAATTCCCGCTCGTTGAGTTCGAGCGCGTCCGCCACTTTGTAGAGCGGCACGAGCATGTCCTGACACACATGCCGCTCGTGGTAGTAGTTCCGAATCGCCTCGCCCTGCGTGAGTTTCAAGAACGACACCTTAGGAGGCATCATCCACCCCAGAAGCACCCTGAACCACCATTGGTCGCCGAACGGCAGGATTAATTTCCCCTCCCAGTACAGGCTCCGCGTGTGGCGGTGGTAGTACTGGCGCGTCGGGATGTATTCGACAAACTCGCCGCGCGTTAACGCGTCCGTTGCGTGCTGGTAGAACCACCGCTTCCACCACCACCCGCAGTTGTTAATCCCGTTCCCGGGCCGCGTCGCCTCCTCTCGCGACGCGTACTTCCCGGTCATCATCACCCCCTCGGACCGCGTGTACACCATGCCCTCCACGAAATCCGGAACCTTATCCGGGTTATCCTGGTCTCCGTCGCGCGGGCAGAACGAGTCGATATACGCCTGGGTCATTTCGCGCAGGGTGCCTCTAACGGGCGTGTATGTAACGCGCATGAACTCTTTAACGGGGATGAGGCGGATTTCGGCCGCGACGAGCAGCCCCAGCGTGCCCTGCGACCACGGAATCGCGTAGAAGAGATCCGCGTGCTCGTTGTCGCGCGTCGCGCGCACCAGCGTGCCGTCCGCCAGCACGATCTCGTACGCCTCCACCGTGTCCTGCGGGGAGTTGGAAACGAGGAGGGTGGAGGGGAAAGGGCGGGGAGAAGAGGGGAGGGGGTGGAGGGAAGGGGGGGACTGCTGAGTTGACTCACAAGGCACCGTGTCCTGCGGGGAGTTGGCGAACGACGGTGGTGGTGGGGAGTGGGGGAGGTAAGGTGAAGGGGAGGAGGAATGGACGAGGTTGAGGAATATTAAAATTAGCGCAAAAAGCACCAGCGCGGAAGTGGCGGAAGGGAGAGAGGGGGGGGGGGGGGGGGGGGGGGGGGAACGATGGAGGGACCGGAGAAATGAGTCAAGAGAGGGCGAAAGGGCAGGAGAGGGGCGGAAAGGGGCGGAGAGGGGTGGCACCTGGAAGAGGCCGTAGATGTGCGACGAGCCCTCGATGCCATAGCCGTTGATCAGACCACCCACGGTGAGGTCATCCAGTTCCGGGACCACTTCTAACGCGTACCCCAGCGGCACGGTCACGGCGCTCAGCTGCCCCATGCTCACGTACGGCTCGCAGCGCGCGATGCGGTTCACGGTATCAACGGCCAGAATCTGGCAGAACTCGTTCATGTCGACCTCGAAGCGCCGCGCGCGCTTGTAGTCGGAGTTGCGCATCGACACGGACAGCCATGGCTTGCGGGACGTGCACACCAGCCCGTCGCGGCGCCGGTCGCGCGATTTGAGGCGATTCACGAGCTTCTGCACGGCGTCCTGGTGCTCGCGCTCGCGCTGCGCGAAGCTCTTGCGGTTCGACCACCAGTCCCAGAAGTCCTTGTTGCACTGGAAGGCGAAGGAGACGGGCAGCACGACGAAGATTACGAGAATCCAGCGGAACTGCACCAGGAAATCCACGATAGACCATGTGCGTTTTCTCCGAGGCGTCGCGGAGTTCCCCGTCAGCGGCTGCTGCAGCGACGGCGCGTCGTCCGCCATGGGGAAAGGCGGTTAGAGGCGACCAGCCAGTCAGTCACTTGTACGAGCGGAAATGGAGGAGAAATAGGGGCAGCAACTGGGTTACCAGGGTAAATGTGTCGGGGTAAATGTCAAATTGAGAAAGTGGAAATGGAGAAGAAATGGTGGCTGGCGAATTGAGTTGAGAGATACGCCAGCTGGGTGCGAGCCGAAATGGCGCTGTCCATACAGATTCCCAATTTTCCCGCCTTGGATTTCTCGCCTGCCTAAGGCAGGTTGTTTCTTGTGTACCGCAGGTCACCGTGCACCAACGCACAGAACCTTCGTTACGTCTGATACGCAGTGGGGAGTGAACTGTCAAAGCTGCAATTGGGGACCTGGTCTGATGGCGGGGGAGGAACAAACCAATCCTGTGCTGTTGCAGCGCTGGGGGGTGCTGGGAGGCGCTGAGGTTGCGGAGTATTGCGGGCGGGTGCGCGTCGGGACGGGAGGGATTGGGATTCGGGATCGGGAAAGCATGCGCGACAGAGAAGAGGAGTCTGCGACAAGACGGAGGAATCGCAGATGTCGCGGAACGTCGTTGTCAATTAACCAATCTCAGATCGCCCAGAACTGTGCTGTGCTCCACATGGCGTGGCCTGATTTGCATATGTGTATCTGATGTAGCGGCAGATCGGGTGTAGCTGCTGTGAGATGATCCGCTATGTTGTGTAGCATTTCGGCTCATGTACACCTGCCACAACCAATAAAAACTCAGCTGATGCAAAGGGGTAGTGGGCTCACAAACCCAAATTGGTGGTATTCCACCGTTCTTTAATCACTGCTTGTTCTCGATACCGTCAAGACGCCCTCTCGCTACCACAACGCGCCTTACACAGGGTACACGCATTTGCAATTCGCACTACACACACCACACAACCTCTTCCTTGGTGCACCGCTACTGCGAGGTCCGTTCGCCCCCTCCTGCTTCCTCCCCCTCTCCCCCCCACCCTCTCCTACATTCGCTCTAAGCCCACTTCTTAATTTCCTTTTCTCCACCTCTATCTGCCACACCTGCCCCACCCCTCCCTTAGAACCAGGACAGCTTCGTGCAGCAGGCATGGCTGAACAGGTGATCAGTCTTCCTCAATTTAAGATTACTGCCAAAATTGTCCGCTTCTGCTGCTGATTGCTAAGGTTGTCGGGTCGATTTTAGGTCAGAGCAGCGAGGTTTACGCGATGAGCTCCCGTCTCGCATCCGCTGCTGCCAAGGGTGTTGACAATCGTTTCAAGAGTCGGGCTAGCGATTGATAAGCACTCAGACAGTGAATGTCCGCTAGCTTTGTTTCCTGCGGCCATTCACCTTCTTTCATCGAGGAACGCAGTATTAGGGTTTGCATGTGACCTCATCGCGACGTCATTACCACCCAATTTCTCGTCGTATTTGTTACGAAAGCCTCGTAGTCGAACGTCAAGATTTCATTGGCCTGTTGCCTGATCGGATTCAGTACACAGTGTACGTTGTCTGCAGAACAGATTGCTAATCTAGCCGTGCCCTCGTGTTGACTCGTTTTTGTGCTCTCTTGTTCTCATCCTCATAAGTACAGACGGAGCGCGCTTTTCAGAAGCAGCAGGGAGTCTTCCTCTGGTACGTAGGTTCTTGGACTTGACCATGGGTTTGGTTAGATCAGGGGATTGGTTACACCATGCGCTTGGTTGCATCGTGGGCTTGTTCGCAACAGGTATAGCTCATTATGGTTACCACGTTAATAGGGGCTCTCTTTCTGGTGTTTTCCAGTAGATGTGTAAAGGTTGTTAATCTTCGCCGATCTAGCTAGTTGCGCTGAGGGGCTTCGGTCATTGGGAAGCTTGGATCAGCCACGCACAGACGAGGAATGCGGTTAGTTGAGGAGTTTCGGTCATCGGGAAGCTTGGACAAATCGCGGTTTGTCAGCCGATGGGAAGTCGGGGAGCGTGTGTGTAGCGAGGTGAATTTCGTGTTGACTCGTGAGTCACGTGTCCATGATTGAGGCGCGTGGATCGGTGATGTGAAAGACCGTGGCAAAGCGATCTTTTAAATCGTTATGTGCACTTCCCTCGCTTCCCCGGCTCTTATCCCTTTCCGACGCACTCACCTCGTCACGCCCGCCTTCCAACCTCCTCTTCCCCCCTCCCTTACCCTCATTCCTGCCTTGCCGCCCATGCGTGCGACTGGCAGCGGCGACTACTCAGCGAAGAAGAAGCTGAGGACCCCGGGCAAGGCGGGTAACCGTTACTACAAGAACGTCGGGCTGGGCTTCAAGACGCCCCGCGAGGCCATCGAAGGTGCGCCTGTCGCTGACGAGGAATTTTCCATGCACCTCCATCAACGTTTGCTCTGTTTAGTGTCATATGAGAGGGAAAGAGCTTCGTGGGGTGTGCCTGTCTCCCGACGCGTGCCAAGTAAAGTGAGCGAGAGAGGGAAACAGTGCGCGATGGAGAGTCGTCTGGATTCGGGATTCCTGCCAGGGCAGTTTTCGAGGAGCCGTGACCATCGTTCCACCAGCATGGCCCTAGTTGGGCCCTTCACGTGTCCTCTGTTCCCCACCTGCACATCCTCCTTGCTGTTGTCGTAGTTCCAGGTTCCCCTTTACACCCTTCGTTCCCCGTCTTCCCGCCGTTCCTCTGCCACCTTCCCCGCCATTCCACGCGCCCCCCCCTCCCCCCCCCGGAACAGGCACGTACATCGACAAGAAGTGCCCGTTCACAGGCAACGTGTCGATCCGCGGGCGCATTCTGTCGGGCACGGTGCTGTCGACCAAGATGAACCGCACCATCACCATCCGCCGCGATTACCTCCACTTCGTGCGCAAGTACCAACGGTGAGTTATAACGAGTACCGAGGTGATTTATACCGAGTACAAACGGTGACTTATAGCGAGTACTCAAGGTGAGACGCCTTGCACGTCTGATAGCGCACGCTCTCAATTGTGAGTGGCAGTGAGCGTCATTTTATGTGCTCCCCGTCATCTATTCACCGACCTGTTTCAATTCTCCCCCATAACCCCGCTGCCCCCACCCTTTTTTCCCCGCCCCGCCCTTCCCCCCCCCCCCCCCCCCCGGGCACGCAGGTACGAGAAGAGGCACTCGAACCTGTCGGCGCACGTGTCGCCGTGCTTCCGCGTGAAGGAGGGGGATCAGGTCATCGTGGGGCAGTGCAGGTCAGTGGACGGGGGGGGAGGGGGCAGTGCAGGTCAGTGGACGCGAGGGGGAGAGCGCAGTGCAGGTCAGGGAGGGGGAGTGCAGGTCAGTGGACCCACTGGGTATGGGGGGCCGGAAGTGGGGATGGAGGGGAGTGAGGAGACCAGTGCGTTGCATGGTGGAGCAGGACAGGGGGGATTTGGCCCTCGCGGGGAGTGCAGGTCAGTGGAGGGAGAGGAGGCGGGGGGGATGGGGAATGACACTGATGGTCCGTCAGCGGGCTGTGCTGTATGGTGGGGCAGTGCAGGTCATTACACGGGGGAAAGGGCAGTGCAGGTCAGTGGAAGGCGGGGGTTGCAGTGCGGGTCAGTGGACACGGGGGGGCAGTGCAAAACATTGGAGCCACTGGGTGTGGGAGGGTGTTAGGGGGAAGCTACCCTCTTAGTCGGCCCAGTCGGTTAGTGCAGGTCTGCGAGCCGCTCTCATTGCCAGGCGTAGGGCACGTTCTCTGTGTAGGTCACCGCAGGCTGGGCAGTATTCTGCTGTAGTGGGCCAGAGCGGAGGAGTGTAAGGAGAGGAATTAGGCTATCATTAGGAATTAGGTACTAGTGTTCGTCTGTCTATACCATGGGTATGTTCAAACGATTTTAGTGTACCGTTACCCTGTATTTTTGTGAGCAGGCCGCTGTCGAAGACGGTGCGATTCAACGTGCTCAAGGTGATTCCACACGGCTCTGATGCCAAGACCAAGAAGGGATTCAGCGGCATGTAAAGCGCATTGATGCAGACCTGATTTTGACTAGAAAGGAGCACCTTACAGTACCAAATTGGGAGGGTAGTGTATGCTGTGCTGCCCTGTGTCTTTGTTCTTCTGGCCTTCTGTATGAGTTGTTTTCAAATGCAATGCTGAACGCTCCACTGGATACATGTGCCTAAGCAAAATAGTGATTGTGTTGGGAGAGATATGCTGCAAGCTGGGTTAAAAAGCTATAAATGTATGGCTGCCACAAGGACTGGTTGCAGTGTGCTGATTGCTATAATATTTCAATAGCAGGCTGGATTTATGACTATATCAAGGTTCTTCTTGCGAGTGTTTCAGATATTTCATTACAGACAATCAGGTTTTGTTACATGGATTACGCAGCAGCAATTTTGCGATGGTGGTAATCCACACACTACCTCCTCGCCTTGTGATTGCCTGCTCGCCCTGTTCGCACCTGCACACGCGCGCACAAATTGTCCCCGGACAAGCGCGACACTCCCTCCGTCCCCCGCCTTTCCCCCCCAGGTCCCCCGCTCGTGCTGTTGAATTACTCCGCTCCCCTCCCTCCCACCTCCACCTTCCTCCTCTTCTTTTCTTTCCCTTGAAAGCCTTTTCTCTTTCCTTTCCCGTCCCCTTTCCACACCTTGAAAAATTCTGGGAGGACACCCCACACAAAGTGAGTAGCCGATTCTCCGCCATTCGCGGCTGTTGTAGATAGAAACAGCGTGTATGCGGTCATGCGTGTGTGACAACCCCGATTCGTGGGATCGGCATGGATTGCGCACCCGAACTGGTTTTTAGGGTTAGCTTGTCTCGCGTGGGAGATCCCGCAGAATTTCGCGAGAGCACATCTTCCAGTGCCGTCACGTTTCGGGCCTGCGCGTGTTAGCCTGACAGTTAGACGAATGGTCATTTTAAAGAGGCAGCGAGCTGAGCAGGATTGAGCGCTGAGTTTCCTGCATTGAGCGCACGGCACCTGGATCCTCATCGTACCGCTGCCGTTATTTAACCTCACACACCAGCTCCGTCGCTCTCTTGCTCGTCTCTCTCCGCTCCCTCGGTGCTTTTCGCGCCTCTGACTCCCCCTTACCGCCAGCTCTCGTTCTCTGCCCCACGTCCCTCGATTCCCACGTGAATGCCCCTCTTCTTCCCGGCCCCCCGCCTCCCTTTTCCATTTCCCCGTCATTCTCCCCCCTCTCCTCCCCTCCGCAGGTGAGCCAAGATGAGTTGGGAGGCGGTGCCCGAGTCGATCGCGACGAAGCGCGATCGCGACGAAGCGCGAGCGCGAGGAGAAGTAGAGCGCGGAGTTTCCGTCCTCACAATGCCCCTTCTCCCCTCGTTTCCTCCGTTTTCCCCCCTTTCCCTCTCCCCCTTCCCTCTTGCCTCCCCCCTTCTTCCCCCCCCCCGCAGGTGAGTCAAGATAAGTTCGGAGGCGGTGCCCGAGTCGATCGCGAAGAAGCACGAGCGTCAGCCGCTTTAGAATGCCCCTCTTCCCCCCGTTGTTCCCCCGTTTCCCCCCTTTCTCCCCCACTCTCTCTCCCCCTCCCCCCCCCCCCCGCCCCCTCCCCCCGCAGGTGAGTCAAGATGAGTTCGGAGGCGGTGCCCGAGTCGATCGCGAAGAAGCGCGAGCGCGAGGAGAAGTGGGGCGCGGCGATCGCCAAGAAGGCGGCGGAGAGCAAGGCCAAGAACAAGCTCATCCGCAAAATCATCCACCAACGCGCCGCCGCCTACGACAAGTCGTACGCGCGCAAGGTGGGAAGCGGAGATTAGTGCCGTGCCACTTAGTAAGAGCTCGGTTCAGGAGTGATCCATACGCATGATGCCGGCTCGGCGACCATCACAGGCTCTCGCTGTTTCGAATTCCTGGCTACTGGGACGGTGTTGACTTAGCGGGTCTGACCTAGGTCTCGAACAGTATTCACTGCAGCTGTGAGAAGCCTTTGGAAGGGAGTTGGTCGCAGGCTCCTGCCGAATGACCTCCAAGGAACTCGAGTCCGAAAGGAGCAGCAGTGTTTTGAGACGTCTCAAAACACTTCTTCAATCTCCTGCCGAATGATCTTCAAGGAACTCGAGTCCGAAAAGAGCAGTAGGTGGCGGTGGTCAGCGGCTGGGGACGTGCGGCTAGGCGGTGACCATTGGAGGGGCCTAGTTTATAAATCTATTAAAGATCGTTTAGGCGCAGTCTCAAGGCGTCCGAGCCGAGGCGAGGTATTTGGAAGCGTGGTGATGGCGACGATAGGTCCCGTGGATTAGTCGGGAGACGAATCTCGGACCAAATGCGGAGTAGGGGGCGAATGCGCTGTAGGTAGGGACTGAGTGTGTGCTTCGTGCGAGTGCATCACAGAGCAGGCTTCTGCGTCTGAGAATCTATGAGGGGCGCCCGGCGGGATGCGCGGCTAGGCGTTGTGAGAGCTTTGCGAGGGGAGGTAGGGTTGTGCTTCGTTTGATTTGGACAGGATCATGGGCAGACGAAGGAGCGGGACGTTCCTTCCGTTTGCCGTCTATTATGGCAGCTTGGTCCTGGTCCGGTGCGATTCCTCCGATTCCTAGTGTTGCGAAGCGAAAGGGAAATCTGTATTGCGAAGCGAGAGCTATCGTCGGGCGAAGACGGCTGACACACGTTCGCCCTCTCTTGTTGATCAGAGTGCCGTATTGTCGTGTGCGCACATGACCAACGGCTCCGCACGCGTGGCTGTTGTGGGTGCCCTTCTCGCCCCCTTCCCTTCCCTCCCTTCCCTTCTTCCCTCCCCTCCCCCCCACCTCCTTCCCCTTTTCCTCGTAGGAGCGACCTTCCAGAATTTCGAAAGTGATCCCTTCTCCTCCCCCCCCCCCTTCTCCCCGCTCCCGTCTCCGTCCCTCCGTCAGGAGCGCGAGCTGGTGGAGCTGAAGCGCGAGGCAAAGCTGAGCGGCGGCTTCTATGTCGAGCCCGAGCCCAAGCTGCTCTTCATCATCCGCATCCGTGGGTGAGTCGATTGTGGTTGCTTGCGGTTGCGTTCGGTTGCTGGTGGTTTTGAGAGCGCCCAAAGGGCTTCTATGTCGAGCCCGAGCCCAAGCTGCTCTTCATCATCCGCATTCGTGGGTCAGTCGCCCCCCGTTTTACTTCCAACCCCCCGTGACAATTAAAAGTGTCTTGAGACGTCTCAGAACATCATCCGCATTCGTGGGTCAGTCCCCCCCCTGCTTTACTTCCAACCCTCCGTCCTCCCTCCCCCGCTTTTTGCTTGTTCTTCCGCCGTCCCCATTTCCCCTTCCGCTGGGCTATTCCTGCCGTGCTAATCCTCGCAACCTCTTGACCCGCATACCCTTTTCTCGGGCTTCTTTCTCGCAATCACTCATTCATGCACATTCTAAAGCCAACCTTACCCCTATCCCTCACCCTCTCCCTCCCCTCCCCCTCCCTCTCCCCTACCGCCGTTGCCCGTGCGTGCTTTGGTGCCAGTGTGAACGACATGCACCCCAAGACGCGCAAGATTCTGCAGCTGCTGCGCCTTCGCCAGGTGAGAGCAGAACCTTCCCGGTCCTGCGTTGCCTCGAAGAACCTTAGGAATAGATGGAACTGTCTCCCGGTTTTCCGGCTGTAATTGTGACACTTGCGAAACAGATAATCAAGCTTCTCCCAATCGTCACTCCACCTCCACCACCCCCAGCTTCGGCACCCCTCCCACTCCCATTCCCCCTTTTGCGCGGGCCAAACCCCCATTCCCTTCCCCCTTCCTCCCGACATCCCACTTCCCCACTCCACCCCTCCATCGCCTGCCATCCTGAATTCCCGTTTTTGCCGACTACACCCCTCCACCTTCCACTGGCAGATCTTCAACGGAGTGTTCCTGAGGGTCACCAAGGCGACTCTGCAGATGCTGCGATTGGTAGAGCCCTACGTCACCTACGGGTGAGCTCGTTATTATCACCCAGGAGGGCTTGCTACTGTCTCTTAGGAAACTTAGGATGAGGTTGATTTCTTGTCACCATCAAGCCTGAAGCTCGTCTGCTGCCTGAATTGGAGCTCATGCCTCTTTGCAATTCCCTGGCCCCACTGCGCTATGTGCTCTAATGTTGTTAACCACCTGAAAAAACACTACCGTGTGTGCTCCCCGCGCCCTGCGCCGTGCAGCTACCCGAACCTGAAGTCGGTGCGTGAGTTGATCTACAAGCGCGGGTACGGCAAGGTCAGGCACCAGCGCATCCCCCTCACTGAGAACTCTGTCGTCCAAAAAGTGAGTCTCCTCGCATCTGACATGTCGTTTGATTTTGGGACATCTAAAAAAAGGCCATGTACCAGCGCATCCCCCTCACTGACAATTCCGTCGTGCAAATAGTGAGTCCCCTCCCATCTGCCACATCTCTCGCTGCTGCTACTCCCTCCCTCGCCCTCCCCCTGTACCGATTCCGTTATATAAGCATTTTAACATCCACTTGGTGTATCTCACACGAAGCCCCTCCAACTCTTATGCCTCTCTCCCCGATTCCGGGTGTGGGTCCTCCTGCTCCTCTGGATGTGCTTGGATTGGATTCTTACTCTATCCATATCCCTGCTACGCGCTGTCCCACCCAATTTTCTCAGGTGCTGGGGCAGAAGAAGATTCTGTGTGTGGAGGATTTGATTTACCAGATCTTCACGACGGGCCCGCACTTCAAGGCGTGCAACAACTTCCTGTGGCCCTTCAAGCTGTCGGCGCCCAACGGCGGTATGAAGAAGAAGCGACTGCATTTTGTGGAGGGCGGAGATGCTGGTAACCGTGAGGACAAGATCAACGCGCTCATCCGGCGCATGAACTAAGCGGAAGCGTTTTGAAGGAAACGTTTTTGTGACATGAGCTGGTTTAGTGGATCAGATTCTCAGGCTTGTAAGAAAGTAGGGCTGGTGATATGTGCCTTGCCTGCTGTTCTTCCCATGCAATCTGCTTGTGCTTGCACTGCTGGCCTGTATGATTCCGGTGGTGTCAATGCAGCAATGAGAATACAATGTTTGGTGCTCAAATCAAGATTCTCTTTTATCCCAAGAAGATTGGTGGGGTAATTTCAAACTTCACTTGAAAGTCATTTTGTTGGGAGTGTATGCCGTAATTTGCTCGATAGCGAATCTGCTGTGGTTCGACTGTCAGTTTTGGTAGTCGCAGAACGGCGCAGAGTTTCGTGATCGCTTCTGTCCAGATTCTCTTTGGATGGATTCGCTCGCTGACCCGCGACTGCACTGTTCAGCGCTGTAGGAAGTCTCGAGATTCCGTTCCGTCCCAGCAACCGCGACATTTGAGGCTCCCAACAACCTGCCATGGAACATTCTAGGCGCAGGCCGTCCACATCGCGACACGCTGAATGGTTGTTTCCGCACTTGCGAAGACTGTACGGGCTTCGCCAGCCACAAATGCCGTCGTCAGCGAATGGTTGTTGTTGAAGCTGATTCGCGCGAGAAAGCTGCTTCTCCGGCGATACTTCCCGTAACTCGTTTCTCACATCCCTACCCTCTGCTGCTTCCATTCCACCTCTTCTGCATAATGCATTCCATCCTTCAATCATGGAAGAAAAACAGGTGATCTGCAACTTAAACTAGTCTGCATTCCAGTTGGAGAGTCTGCTGTTACCGTTCCTCACGCGATTCTCCTCACGCTGTGTTCTAGTCAGCTGAGGACCGTTGAAAAATCTCGTTCAGGTGGAAGACAGATAGTTGTGGCTGTCTCGCTCGTCCTTAGCTCATCTCCGTGCTTGCTGCAGCTCCTTGATTCATCTGCCAGAGGCGCAACCGTCCAGTCATAAATGAGTCATATCCTGCACAGCGCTTCTCTTTCTTCATAAGCTCTGCAGCTATAAAACTCTTCTTATTCTGTAGTTTTGGAGTTCCTGTGTAGCGATATGGCCGTTTTCGTTTTTGCATTCCGTATATATGTTTGTGTATCTTCTGACTTCCCGTTTGCTCCTTGTGTATCTTCTGACAAGTTTCTCCTTAACTGGTTTTCCTTCTTGTGGTTGAACAATATACGCGGCAATCAGCGGGACGTTGATCGCGCCAGGGCTCAGGCCCGAGCAGCAAAGAACGGCGCGAACAAGAAGACCGACGGTCTGACCCCGGAGCAACGCCGTGAGAGGTAAGCTTCCCGTTTTGCGTGTCAAACGCTCATGCACACTAGTCTGCAGGCGATGTAGCCATTATTGAGAATACAGGTTGGAACTACGCGTGGGAGCATGACTTGACCCCGTTTATGGGCTATTGGTGGCATTCTTGGTAACCGCATTTCATCTTTCCTGGTGTTTCGTGCTTTCTTCCAGGGACGCCAAGGCTTTGCAAGAGAAGGCTGCGAAGAAAGCAGCTGCTACTGCGGGTGGTCAGTCTAAAGGAAAAGGCAGCTAATAACGCGGAAGCAGGATTGATGCACCACACTTGGTCATACATATTACTTTTTGACGCGCGACATCCAGTTTTTTAGCCAGTAGTGTTTGTCGCCTAGTGTATCTATTGCATTGATTATTAACTGATATACCACCACACAATATGATAATTTTAGAAAGTGTAATGTAATGTAACACTTTCTAAAATTTTGTATTGTGAAAAGGGGTACGTGGCGAGCACAGCAAAGGTAGCGCCGAAGCGCTACTCACCCTCTTTTTCCTACAAAAGATGGACGTGGGGACATTGGTCCCCACCCACGCTTTCATTTCTCAACTTGTAGTTCTTATTTCTCGTTCTCGTCACTCTGGCGAAGACACAATCCCTTCCGCGCTTCACAGCCCCGACAACACTCCTAAACGATATCCTTCAGCCCAACTTAGCTAATATGGCTCCGGCGAACTCGGCGCTTAACCGCGATAACGCTACCACGTCAAGCCCCGGTCACGCGGCGGAAGCTTCAATTCCCGCCGGGGCAACCGATCGTCGCGGCAAAAGGAGTGCCGAAGAAACTTCTGTCGAGGGACCCTCGGCTGTCGAACTTTTGCTCGGGGGCACCCCTCGCGCTGCGTCATAAGACACACGCGGGGCTGCACAGCAGCCGCGCGTGACTGCTGAAGAGCGCGTGCCTGGCAGGCAGGCACGCGCGCAGCACAAGACCACGACGGCTGCTGACGCGGCCGCCGTCTTGACCGCGGCTGACGCGGGTCAACCCGGGCTCACGACCTAGAAACGCCAGCGCGCGGCACCCTCTGCTGACGTCGCGCAAGTCAACGCCCCCCCCCCCCCCCCCCCCCCTTTGATTGCGCAGCAGCTGCAGGCGCTTTTCTCGTTATCGCAGCAGTAGGCGCCCGGTACAATCGCTACTTCGACTGACAATGATTCTGCGTCCGTAAAAACGGAAAAGCAAAAAGAAGCCGTTGCAACCAGGCCCCACGTTATCAGGGCAAAACATCCTGATTACCCTGAATTCAGGATGTAGTTTTAAATTTACCCTGTCATTTCAGAATAGTGTAAATTTTAGCCCTGAGGCCTCAGGATGTTTTTATATGAAATACCCTGAACATTCAGAATGGCTGTAGCGTCAGGATGAATGCCGAGGCCTGCCCTGACGCGTTTTTTGGTGGGGGGGAGGGGGGGGGGGGGGGGGGGTGGGGGGTTGAGGGGGGAGTCCCGTAGAAAAATTGTCGGTAACCGCTGAATCAACTATCTTGACATCCAGAAATGGCCTAGGCAGTAGAGAGTTACTTCCGAGAGATGAGATCTTCGGATCGAACCCTCTCCCGTGCAGGCATATCTGTAGCTTCAACCTGACTTGCCTACCAACAATTATGAACCCTGAACGCTTATATTTTTACCCTGACAGGCCAGGATATTTTTTTGTAGAAGCCCTGAAATTACAGGAAGCCTCCGAAAAGTTGCCCTGACAAATCAGGGCATTTTTTCAGATTCTGGAAAGTTGCCCTGAGGCCTCAGGATGCCCCAAAACCTAGCACAGGCCCTGGTTGCAACCCGCACCACCAAGGCCGCTCGCGCCACCACCGCTGCTCCGGCGCCCGCCCTGGCTATTGAACCAGTTCAAGCTCCCGCAATTGACGACAGTGACAACTCCGATAATGACGACGGTGAGGCCCCTGACAACCTTGCCCGCCGTCGCATTCTTGCACCCGCACCCCCCCTTCCTCCCCTTAACCCGTCACCCGCAGCTACTACCTTCATGCGCAAAGGAGTGCGCGACCAGGCAGAAATATTTTCTGCAATTCAAGCGCACCCGAGACACGCCGAGTTCAAACTCCAACACGGCGACGTCGAAAGCGCGCTCTCAAACGTGGCGCAAGTCGACACGCTAATCAACAGACGTTTCGAGGTGCTCTTGGTGGCGGACGAGGCCGGGTTTGAGGCGGCGGATCGGTTCCAGCTCTACCAAGCCAAGAGCGTATTCACGTCGCGCTCTTACAAGCTCGCGGTAGCCAACGTGGCGGCCCTCAAGAGCACACGCACCGGCTTCAACCGCCAAGGCCGCCTTCCCCCTCGAGATGGCGAACCGGAAAGCAAGATCATGCCACCCGCGGGCTGCCACGAGCCCCACTTCAAGGGCGTGTGCTTCCGTTGTGGCCAGCCCGGACACATGGCAAACAATTGCCCTATGGGAGGGCGTGGCGGGGGGCGTAGATGGATGCACCGGTGGTGCGTAGGCTGGTTAGGAGCCTTGGGGAGTAGCTCAGCCGTATGGGCTGCATAGGGTGTAGGCCTAGGCTTGTATGCCTTTGTGTGGAATAATAAAAGTTGATTAAAAAAAAAAAAAAAAAAAAAAGACACAACAACAAGAGGAAGGAAGGAGGGCACAAGCAAGCCCATCCTCAAGGACGGCAGCCATGAAGGAAACTTGGCTAGGTGTAAATTATGAAATAAAAGATGAGGAAAGCGAAGCAGAGAGAGAGAGAGAGAGAGAGAGAGAGAGAGAGAGAGAGAGAGAGAGAGAGAGAGAGAGAGAGAGAGAGAGAGAAAGAGAGAGAGAGAGAGAGAGAGAGAGAGAAAGAGAGAGAGAGAGAGAGAGAGAGAGAGAGAGAGAGCAAGAGAGAGAGCAAGAGAGAGAAACACGGAATGAGGATGAGGAGAGGGAGAGAGATTAAGAGAGAGAAAGAGAGAGAGAGAGAGAGAGAGAGAGAGAGAGAGAGAGAGAGAGAGAGAGAGAGAGAGAGAGAGAGAGAGAGAGAGAGAGGAAGAGAGAGAGAGAGAGAGAGGGAGAGAAAGAGAGAGAGAGAGAGAGAGAGAGAGAGAGAGAGAGAGAGAGAGAGAGAGAGGGAGAGAGAAAGAGGCCACGACGGCATCGCGATGAACAAGGTCGTAAAACCAAGGGATGCACATGCACCGATCTTATCGTAAGGCGACTTCCAAATCTTCAAAAAAAAAAAAAAAAAAATGGGGGTGTGGGGAGGAGCGAAGGAGGTCCAAGACGAGCGACATAGTTTGCCCAGCAAAGTGTCCCACCATCTCTCGCGTCTAATCGACCCTGGTTTTGTTCCTCCCCACAACCTCGGTTGCCCGCCGTTTGCAGAAGCTGAAAGCGAGTGGCAAGACGCTCACTGGGACCCATACGAGCATGCAATAACGGACAACATGGTATCCATCATGCGAAGGCGATTGCGGAACAGTCTCCACTGGTGGCTATCATGGTGCGACAGCAGTTTCATCTTTTCCATCATTGCTAAAGGGTACTGGCTACCATGGAAGGGCGCGGAGCCACCCCCCTTCGAAGTCCTCAATCACGCAGGGGTTCAAGCACACATGGCTTTCACCCAAGGTGCAGTCAGCGACCTCATCGCGTTAGGAGCCGCGGTACAGGTCTCGTCGAAAGCAGCACTGACATGCATTAGCGTGCTCAATGTTGTCGAGCAAAGAGACAAATGCCGTCTCATTCTTGACCTGCGGAAGGTCAACGCTCACCTCCAAGTTCCCAAGTTCAAGTACGAGGGGTTGGGTCGGGTCGCGGAGATCATTCGCCCAAACGACTGGATGTTCACCATCGATCTGAAGTCAGGCTACTGTCAGAATTATATTTATTATAACTGCATGTAGTTCTAGCTGTAGTGTAGTTATTAAATTTGTAGGTGGTGCACCTCTTCATGTGTTCCTTTGCTATATGTACTTCGAATGTTATAGTGAAAACACATTCTCCAATTTCTCTCTCACAACTCACTCGACATCGCTCCTAAGGAAAACCCGCTCGATACCTAGTTAGGGCCTAGGCTACTAAGCCTAGGCCCCACCTTTCAACTCCTGTTCTTATTACTCTCGACATGTTATCGGAGCTGAGTTCGTCCTGGCCTGTGGGCCCGCTTTACTTCCGCTGCTAAAATTTTACGGTCGCGCGCCTAGGGCGCGTGACGATTTTATTCTTTACCTTGTCCCGCCCACGGGCGTGTGACTCCTACCCTGCCCGTCGCGCGCCCCGTGGCACGCGACGGTGCCCTTTATCTGCCCATCGTGTGCCCTGAGGCACACGATGGTGCCCTGCTCGTCGTGCGCCCCGAGGCACACGATCGGGCCCTTTTATCCTACCCGTCGTGCGCCCCGTGGCACTGGCCCGCGACGGGCCTCTCCGCCCCTGCACTCCCTGCTGCCGCCCCTGACCCATCTGCACCGACGCCTCTTCGCCGCTCTGCGGCTTTCTTCCTTCCCACCCCCCCCTTTCTCTTATCTCCCTGCAGCCGTGGGGAGGAGGGTATGGGGGTGGAGGGTGTTGGAGCGTGGGGTCAACTCTCTCCCTTCCCCTCCTCCTTCTTTCAGTCCCACCGCTGCAGCTGCCGCTGGGGGGGGAGGGTGTGAGGATGTGGGTGAGCAGGGGGAGTGGTACCGGGGTGGCGGGTGTGAGGCAACAAGCAGCCGTCCCTCCACCTCTCCTCTCTTCCCCCCTTCTCTGCTGCTTCTGCAGCAGTGTGGGGGAGGGGAAGGAGGAGGGTGAGGAGATGGAGGGGGTAACCTTTCAAAGTTAGCCCGCCTGCAGTACCTGCTGTTGCTTGTTTTATTGCTCGTTGGTGTACCTCTGCAGGTTGTGCTTGGCACTTAGCTATTCCTGCATGCAGTTACGGGGGGATGTCAGAATTATATTTATTATAACTGCATGTAGTTCTAGCTGTAGTGTAGTTATTAAATTTGTAGGTGGTGCACCTCTTCATGTGTTCCTTTGCTATATGTACTTCGAATGCTATAGTGAAAACACATTCTCCAATTTCTCTCTCACAACTCACTCGACATCGCTCCTAAGGAAAACCCGCTCGATACCTAGTTAGGGCCTAGGCTACTAAGCCTAGGCCCCACCTTTCAACTCCTGTTCTTATTACTCTCGACAGCTACCACCATGTCGGAATCCACTCATCATGCTGGAGGTTTTTGGGCTTTCAACTGGATGGCAAGTTCTATTGCTTCACATCCTTACCCTTCGGCTTGGCAACAGCCCCGTTCTTCTTCACCCAGCTAATCAAGCAACTAGCCAAGAAATGGCGCGCGCGCGGCGTGCGCGTAATACCATACGTGGACGATCTACTATTCCTGTGCGATTCCGAGGCGCAAGCCCGTTCGACGTGCATCGAAGTTCTCCATGGCCTCTAGGTGGCGGGATTCGTGATAAATGCTAAGAAGTCAAACCTGCATCCGACACACCACTTGCGCTTCTTGGGGATGGAGCTCGACACGGAACGAGGGATGTTCCTCATCGGAGAAGATCGGCGCGAGCAACTCCTGCAGGAGCTCCACCTACTCGTTAAAAACTGGCAATCGGGTCGACAAGTGCCGATTCGTAAGATAGCCCGAATCACGGGATTTCTCAGCTCCATGTCGCTCGCACTAGGTACTACAGCGCGTGCCTTCAGCCATGAGCTGCTGCGCTTGATCGACTCTGCGTGGTCATGGAACGCGAAGGTTAAATTGTCACCAGGAGCGACGGAGGAGTTGGTGTTTTGGACAGTCCACTTTGATCGGTTCAATGGTGCCCCATTCCACCAGAGCCAACGGTTTGATGCTGTGATCCACGTCGACGCAAGCGCACACAGCTGGGGGGCCACCAAGTTCCCAAGTGCATCATGCGAAGCTAGCGAATGCATGCCACGCGAGCTCCTCCTCACATCCAGTACGCGACAGGAGCTCGAGGGAGTGCTCTGGGCACTGCAGACGTTCGCAACACAAATTGTAGGTGCTCACGTCCTCGTCCGGGTGGACAACCAGGCCGTTACGTTCATCTTGCGCAAGAAGGGGATCCCGTCAGGCGGACCTTACGTTGACGATCCCCCCTTGCGCATCTCCTTCATCTTGACATGCCAAGCGATCATCCAGTTCTGTCTCGGCAACACCATACGCCTCGCGATCGAATGGATTCCGAGAGAGCTCAACGCCCAGGTGGACGACCTATCCAAGCTGCAAGATAATGATGACTACTCCCTACACGCGCCTTGGTTTCGCCTCCTAGACCGTCGCTGGGTGCCCCACACGATTGATCTATTCCCTAACGCCCGGAACAGTCAAGTCCAACGCTTTTACTCCAAGATACCGCACCCCGACTCGTTCGCCGTCGATGCATTTTCCATTTCTTGGAAAGGCGAGAGATGCTTTGCCTTCCCGCCGCCGCACTTAGTCCCCGCTACACTCCGCCATGCCGAACTTACGCAGACGGAACTCACGCTGGAAGTTCCCCAGTGGACCGGAGCGTCATGGTGGTCGCTTCTCCAGCCGTCCACCCACGCGTGGGCCCCAACTGTAGTAGCACACCTTGCCCTTGCCCAAGGTAGTCAATGCCTTCGGGCAGGTTCACACACCACTGCATTTTCTGGTCTCGGATTGCCTCATAGCCCAATCATCGCTTTGCGTGTAAACTAGGCAATCTAATAAAATTATTTAATGTGTCATTTCAAGACTTTTGGGCAAGCTACAGCAACGATTAATACATGTAATTAGCCACGTTCACGCACCATCTACAATTGAGACGTACCAACCTTATTGGCAGCGATTTCGCACCTTCTGTACCCAAGTTAAGCTCGACTTCCTACCGGCAACCGGCCTGACGCTAGCGCTGTATCTCATCCATGCGCTCAACAACAAGGCAACTCTCTCCGCCATCAACCTCACATGTTCGGCAGTAGCCTTTGCCCACCGCATGACCGGCGAAGTCTCCCCTACGATCGGACCATTCGGTCTGCCGGCCTGCCAGGACCAAAGAACCCATATCTCTCCATCAAGTGCACGACATGGCCCGTCCCTTCCTCGAATCATCGATTCCTGCGGAATATCAGAAAGGTTTGATTCCTCTTCTCATGTTTTCGGCGTTCTTGCGCTACTCTGACCTCGTATCGCTCTAGTGGAACGATGTACAGTTCGAGGAGAAGGCAATGTGGCTGCTCATCCCGCACTCCAAGACGGACCAGGAAGGGAGGGGTGTCTGGATCCCAGTGGCAGCAATTTCCGGCCCATACTGCCCAGTGCGGTGCACACGCAAATTCATACGCATCGCAGGCCTCACAAAGGTGCCACATGGACCGCTGATAAGAGTTTTCCCAAAGAACTCGCAAGCCACGCCGGGCGACAAATCGCCATCCTACGTCACGATCAGAAACTGGTGTCTCGCGGCCGGCAGGCAGGCTGGAGTGGATGTCACGCACATCGGAACCCACTCGTTCCGCAAAGGTGCAGCCAGTGCGGCGGCAAGCCTCGGAGTTCCTGACCGGCTCTTCAAACGCATGGGCCAATGGCGCAGCGACAGCGCGAAGGAGATGTACGTTACGATCGCGCAGGATCAGCTCATCTCCCTCTCCACGCAGTTGCAACATCCTTCAACAACTCCTTCACCCGCCACGCATCAGCTATTAATTGAACGGCACCGCCAGCCCCGACTGCACTTGCCTCAGAAGACCCATATGAAATGATAACGCTGCCTTTGCAAGTCAACCTAAGTAGACTTTCACAATATTATAATTTTTGCAAGTGTAATGTAATGTAACACTTGCTAAAATTTTGTATTGTGACAAGGGTTACGTGGCCAGCACAGCGAAGGTAGCGCCGAAGCGCTACTCACCCTCTTTTGCCTACAAAAGAGGGACGCGGGGACATTCGTCCCCACCCACGTTTTCATTTCTCAATTTGTAGTTCTTATTTCCCACCCGCCCACCCAATTGTGTATGTTGTTATGAAGATTTGTATACGACGAGAACGATGTACTTAAACCCATATGAAATGATAACGCTGCCTTTGCAAGTCAGCCTAAGTAGACTTTCACAATCCAGTACTTCATCATACCCACGTCATACATACAGAGAGATGAACCACCATTACAGAAATTATCCAAGGCAAGTCATCTCCGCCACTCTCCTGCTGAATGCTCGAAAATTCTCTTGGCTTTCATGTCCTTCATCCACCCAAACAGCCCTTCCAGCGGTTGCCATACCTTCTCACCCTCACACAACCCACCATCTCTCTGTGCCTCCACACCCGAACTCACCACAAACTCCAAACCAACGTCACCCGATGCATCCTTGAGTGCAGCCACTTCCCTGGCATTACCAGCACCAGGATCAGCAGCTGCTGCTAAGGCTGCTGGCACACCAAACCCCTCGCGCATTCTAGCGACGTCATTGGAGAGAGTAGACGACATGGTAGCGAGGAACACTGTAGCGCGTACACAGATGAGCTTGTCAAGGAGCATGTGCAGGAGCAGGGAAGCTTCCTCCCGATCTATGGAGGTGGGGAGGCTGGAAATGAGCGGGTCTGAGGAGAAGGTTGAGAGGAAGGCTGATGGGTTGTCGGGGTAGCGAATGACTTCGAAGGCGGTGCCTGCTGCCTTCTGAAACTCCTCGAACTGTGGAGTGGTATGAAAAGGAGAAATGGTGGATGGCAGAGGGATGGGAGGAGTGTCAAAAAGGGAAAGCCTCTGAGGGACAGGGGGGCAGCGGAACCGAAGCAGAAACATGATGGCGATTCAAGCACCAGTTTTTATCACTGAAAGAGAGAGTACACCAACTGACCTGCTCCACGTTGGCGTCAGACGCAACATAAATACTCCTCAGCCCGTTGCGTCGTGCCGCGTCAGCAGCGCACTTGCCAGCCTGTTGCGCGGAGTAGAAGCAGAAGCCAGGAGGCCCCGACCACACACAGTAGTCCTTAAAGTCACTGCGCCGCCAGTGCACTGCCAAGTACCCCCCTCCCCCACCCTCCAATGCACCGCCTGCTGTTGCAGGTAAAACGGCGGGAAGATTGTCCCCTCCTGCCCCTGCTGCCCCTGGTGCAAGTGTATCATTTGCGTAACTGCTATCCCTGCCCCCGTCAGCCCCACCCCCGCTGCCACCTCCAGCACCGCTCTTCCCACCATTAAACAGGGCTTGTGCGAGCCGCCTACCATCCTCAATAACTTCCTTGGGGGGCAGAATGGGCACGGGAACCGGACAGCCAGGCAGGTAGTGGAACACGCTCCTCCATTCTCTCAGACCCCCCTTTCCTGCACTCCCAAGCCACCGCCCCCCTGCTGGCCCAAGGAAGTCAGACTCCAGAATCACCTGGCTGCTGCTGCTGCTCGCCAGCATGCCATCAAAATTGCTCGTCGAGGTGCCCTCCCTTTCCTGTGAAGCTTCCTCGCGCTCACGCCACCGTTTGTACCGAAACAGACGCTCCTTGAAGGGCTCGTACCTGGCAGGCAGAGAGACCGGGAAGAGAAGTAAGAGAAGAAATACAAGGGCTTTCACTACAAGCACACGAAGGACTTCAGAGGGGCTTTAAGATCAAGTGAGTGAATGCAAGGGCCTCCTCTGTGAGCACAGAGACGGTGGAGGAGAGAGGGGCGCCGTCTGAGAGCATTCTGGTAGGCCTGAAGATGCACCTGTCTGAGAGGCCGAGAAAGGCGGTGAAACACCAGGTCCGCGACGGCGAGCACAGGCACAGACGCGGAGGGCGGAGCATAGGCTCGCCAGATGTCGCGCACGGGGACGAAGCTGGGGAAGCACACTGCTGACGCCGTGGCATCTGGTTAATCGCAAGTAACAGCGTACCTGTCTGAGAGGCCGAGAAAGGCAGTAAAGACCAGGTCCCCCACAGCGAGCACAGGGATGGAGGCGGAGAGAGGCCCATAGGCGCGGAGGATATCCCGTACGTGCACGAAGCGGGGGAAGCACACTGCTGACGCCGTGGCACTGTCGCTGATGTGCACGTCTGGGGAGAGCTGGTGGGGCAACAGGTGCAGGTGCGCCGCAGAGGTTTGGAGGGGCGAGTCGGCGAAGGAATGGACTGTGTAGAGCGGTGGGGAGCGGTTAGCGGAGGGGGTGTCTTGCAGGGTCCGCTGCTGCAGCAGCTTTCTTCTCCTGCTCCCTCTCACCCACGTCATCTCACTCCCTCCAAACCACCCTCTCACAGCAGCCGCCGCTGTTCCCATTCCCACTCCCACTCGAGACAGCTTCCTCAATCCCCCAGACACTCCCGCCAGCCTTCTCCTCTTCCCACCGCCCCCCTGCGTCGTGTCATTAACCAAGCAGTTCTTCAGCAGCCCAGGATTTCCCATCGGACACGTCGCTTCCGGCCCGTGCCAGCACCGCAGGTGATGCACCTCCAGCGGGCGGCCGAACCGGGCGGCAAACTCGTCCGTGCGCAGGACAGTGTCGCCGCCCAGACACGTGCGCGTGTGCGCGAGGTCCCAGATGAGGGGGAGCGGGACGGAGGGGCAGGGGGAGCCGGAGAGGCCGTGCTTGCAGTAGGCGAGGGACGTGGAGAGCAAAACTGGAGGGACGAGGAGCGTGCGGTTGAGCAGCGCGGCGAGGATGAGGTGGCGGTAGAGACAGCCAATGCGGTTGTTCACCTGGCGGGCACATGGGGAAAGAGGAGAGGAGTCGGGTGGACAGGTCGGGTGTGGAAAGACCGGTGGAAACGATGTGGGTGGAAAGGCTGGGGGGAGGGGGGTTGAGGTGGAAAAGAACGAGGGTGGTGGAGAGGAGGGGCAGAGAACAGTGGGAAGGATGAGGCAGACAATGCGGTTTCTGGGGAATATAGGGAGGGAAGGAGAAGCGAGACAAGGAAGGCAAGTGTATGTGAGTGACATGTCATGGGAACGCATGCGTTTCACGAAAGAAGAGCGTAGCTGTTTTCAGTGACCTCGCACCTTACCCCCCATTCTAACTGCTAATGACCGGACCATCACCCACCTGCGACTCACCTGACCTCGCAAGCACACGGCGAGCAGGAACCTGTCAGGCTGTGGCGTCCACACCAGCTTGCCATTCCACATCCCACCCTCGCCACCACTCAGCGACCCCCTCTCTCCCTGTTCAGATCCCTGTGAGCCCTTCTCCCCCAACCAACTTCCCTCCCACGTCTCACCTGGCCTCGCAGGCACACGGCGAGCAGGAACCTGTCGGGCTGTGGCGTCCACTCCAGCTTGCCACGCCAGATCCCACTTCCCTCACCACCGCTCAGCGACCCCCTCTCACCCTCCGATCCCAGTGAGCCTTTCTCCACCCCAGCATGAAAATCTGCTACTACTGTATCCGGGCCGTGATGGCTCGGGCCGGACTCAGGGTCGGAATGAGGTTCGGGGTCCGCTGCATTGTGCTCGTGACTGGTAGTGGAAGGCGAGCCTGATGCCTGCACCCAGGGGGAGCCATTCTGGGTCTGACCTGGCAGCAGCTCATTGGCTGATCCGATGGATAAGTCTACGGCATCCGTGGATAGGAGCGAGTCAGGTTGCAGGAAAAGAGTGTAAAGGACGGCGAGGAGGAAGGCGAGGGCAAGGATGAGGAGGACAGAGGGAGACCACAAGACTCTTGAAATCAGGGAATTACTCGAGAAAGGCCAGCTTGAAAGCTTGAGACTCTGGGAAGAATGGGTGGAATCAGCAATCGGACTCCCATCTTTCAAAAGTAAGCTATCAGAGTCTTTAAGGGAGGAAATGATCTCCTCCTCGTCCTCCTGCTCCTGTTGGGGCTGCTGCTGCTGTTTCAGCGGCGACGCATAACGCTGCATCGACGATGTTGTTCTTTCGCATAGGTCCGGTCCGAGCATGGAATGTAGGTCCGGTCGAGCGACGCCATTGGCTGCTCCTGCTGATGAGTCAGCAGGAGCTCCGGCACAATCTGTATCAAGGTCTCTCCGTACGTGCTTTCCGGAATCCATGACCTAGCTCTTGCTAGCCGAGTATCGATATGCACGAAGTGATTATGGAGTCGAGAGAGAAATTCCCAAACAGCTTCTTGTCAGCCGAGTCAAGAAACCCGCACAATCTGTGTCCTTTCTGGTGGGTATCGGCAAGCACGACGCGTTATTTGAGCCGACTCAGAAATTCATCAACAGATTCTCGGCACCAGAGTTCAGCATGACTCCAGCACAATGGGTGTTTTACCAGCTGAGTGCCGAGCCGTGGAAGGACTTTGCGCCGACTCGAGAATCCATGGACTGTTTCTTGTGAGTTTCAACGGACCCTAATCAGTAGGTCATGCGCAGTAATCAGGCTTGAAAGGCAGCATTTTGTCGTGGAGCGCCATAAGTGGAACTCACGAGTAAGAGGGTCCTATAGATAAGTGCCAAACGCTTCGGGACAGTAGACTCGCTGAGATTCTCAGCTGGTCACGAGGACTGGTCATGAATTGACAAGCCTGAGAGGGCAGGGGGGGAATTTCGGAATGCCAGGTGCGGGAAAACTCGATAATCTGTTTTTTGGCAGACTACTCTCCCCTTCACCCCTGATTCTTGCTTCCTACGTACGATGGACATTGTGCCTTGGGAATGACTTCGACAACGTGTGCGACATCTCGGCCCTGTTCGGTAGCCTCCCAGTCACACTGGGCCCACTTGAACTGGGGAAGCCTCTGATACGTTTCGTAGCCTCGGGCCTCCACTCGCACAAGAATTTACCTCGCGTCTGTCAAGAAATTTCAGGCCGAATTTTGCCAGCTGCCCGACCCACAAACAAGAAATCAGTCCGCCAAATGGTTTCCCCTCATTATGGATGAAAGAAAAACGTTGTGTGAGCAGGATCTCTTGTCGTTTTTCATTCGACAGACTAAAAGAGTTTAATTCATCCCGAAATGACACTAATGCAGCGTATACCCTTAAGCATGCCACTCAGAGCGGGCCTGCCTGAGTGGAACTGGAAAGCTGAAATGGGATCCACTCCCACTGACTGTCGAGTTTGCCTGGGCTCGCCAATTTCGTGGTAGTGTCTTCCCCTGCACTCGGAGTGGGTTTTGCGCGTTCGGTAGCCAATCGCACTGGTCAGGTTTGGTGTTCAATTAACGAACCGGTGGGCTTTAAGGTAGTTCGAAATTGGGCCGCGGAAGATCACCTGCACCAACCGCAGTGTGACTAGAGAGGTTACCGAGCAGGGCCCTTGCGAAGTAGTGTCAGCTGCAACTCGGCGGAAGTCGGCCAGAAGGGTTGATTGAACAGATTGATGCGTGCGTGATATGGTGCGCCGCAGGTGGGAGAATGTACACTGTGATTAATCGCTTTATTATGATACGATTAAAGAAGCAGCCTAACCAATATGCAAGGGACTACATGACTAGGTACATCGATCAAAGCTCACTAGGAGATTTACCATTCTCCCTTATCATTCGACAGAATCCTCAAGGCCTTCAATTGTTGGAGCTTCTTGGGTAAGCCATCCATAGGATGCCACTCTTTCTGCCCCTCACACAGAGCACCATCCCTTCCCTCCTCCACTCCAGTACTCTCTCCAAAATCAACCCCTTCTCTCACCTCCGCACTCTCCCCCACTGCTTCCTCCTCTGCTCCAACAGCAGCAGCAGCAGCCATCGCAGCAGGAATGCCAAGCCCCTCCCTTATACGAGCAACATCGTTAGAGAGTGTAGATGATGGTGTGGCTAAAAACACAGTGGAGTAAACACATATAACCTTATCCAATATGGTGTACATCAGGCTTGCTGCGTCTTTGAGGAAAGCCCCATGCCTCAGCCCCAACAGAGGATCTTGATGCGGGTCCGGCAATAGAGGGGATGGGGAAGAGGGGAGTCTCGCCACCGTGAACTCTGGACCCAATGTCTCTCGAAACTCTTGGAACTGTAGCCAATCAAAAGACGAGAAGCAGAAGGAATGTGGAAGGGAGCATAAGCGAAACGTGGTGGGAGTGAGACAGAGGCACACGCAGAGTAAGAAAGGCAGAACAAGACAACAGATCCGCACCCATCCAACTCACCTCCTTGTCTTCAGCATCCGTTGCCACGTAGACGTTCACGAGCCCGTTGCGGCGCGCCACGTCAGCAGCGCACTGCGCGGCCTGCACAGGCGAGTAGAAGCAGAAGCCGGGCGGCCCTGAGCGCGCACAGAACTGCAGGAAGTCGCCCCGCCGCCAGTGCACTGCCAGGAATGCTGGCAGGTTTGCCGGAACAGGCAGGTCAGCGTCAGTCGATGCTCCAGTGTCCCCTGCTTTACCCTCCCCTGCTCCAACCTCCTCTGTTGAGACGTCACCACCAGAATGACCTGTCTCCGATTCCGCAGAACCGCCCATATCAGATGCACCACCATCCACCATTGCTGCACCAAAGAGGGATCGGATGATGGCTTGAGCTCGCTGGAAGACCGCCGGGGGCGGGATGATGGCCGCTGTGTTGCGGCACCCGGGCAGGAACTGAAAAATACTAAGCCAATCTCGGAGACCGCCGCTGCCCGAACTCCCCAGCCACCGGCCACCGGGCGGGCGGACGAAATCCTTATCCAGCCAAAGATTCCTCCCTCCGGAATATCCATCCCCCAGGTTAGATGATCCATCTCTGCCTCGAGCCGCAGATGAGCCTTCCACTTGAAACCCCTTCTCTTCTACTTGCCCCTCTCTCCCACCCAACCCCCTGCCCTTCCTTTTTCCTGCCCCACCCGGCTGCTTTCCCCCGCTCTCCTCCCACCTCCGCGCCCTCTGCTGCAGCAGCGCGTACCTGTGAGGCAGGCCCAGCACAGCCGTCCCCACCAGGTCCCCCACAGCCAGCACTCGCACAGACTCCCCTAGAGGGCCGTACGCACGGAGCACATCAGAGACATGCACGAAGCGCGGCAGGCAGAGCGCAGAGGCCGTGGCGGAAGGCGGGATGGAGACGGCACCAGGCTGGTGCAGCATTATCATGCGGATGGGGTCGATGGGCGTGGGACGGATCGGCAGCGAGGTGGAGGATGCAGGGTTGGAAGGGGAGGACGAGGAGGTGGAGGTAGAGGAGGAGGAGGAAGAGGAGGAGGAGGAAGAGGAGGAGGAGGAAGAGGAGGAGGAGGAAAAGGAGGACGAGGAAGAGGAGGAGGAGGAAGAGGAGGAGGAGTGCTTGAGCGTTCTCCCTGTGAGCTGCAGCAGGTGGTCTCCCACAGTTGTGGGCTCGTCCGACAGGGAGGGCGAGGTTAATGACTCCGTATCTTTGGACGACTCATCAGCTTCAGACACGCCACTGTGAGGCTGCAGAGAAGACCCGTTGAGCAGCATCGCATGCACCACATCGCTCGCCACTCTCCGCCCGCCAAACTTCTTCCGCAGATTCTCAGCCACGTAACTCAGCGCCGTGCCCACCAAACAGTTCTTCTTCACTATGGGATACGTCGGGTGGCAGAGCCCCTCCGGCCCGTGCCAGCACCGCATGTGGTTCACCTCCACTGGGCGGCCGAACCGGGCGGCAAACTCGTCTGATCTGATCACGGAGGCGGCACCCAGGCAGCGTCTCGTGTGGTTGAGGTCCAAGAAGAGGGGGAGCGGGTAGGAGGGGCATGCGCGGCCGGATGTGCCCCGCTGGCAGAGCAGCGGGGTGAGGGAGGGGAGGCGGGCCGGGACGAGCAGCGTGCGGTTGAGCAGGGCTGCGAGGATGAGGTGGCGGTAGAGACAGCCAATGCGGTTGTTCACCTGATGGGCACGCAGGGGGAGAGGAGAGGGGTGGGGTGCAAGTGAAGAGGGGAGTAGAAGTTGAGCGGAGCGAAAAAGGATGAGGTGGTGGCGGTAGAGGCAGCCAATGCGGTTGTTCACCTGAGGGGGGGAAAAGGGAGAAGGGGAGAGGGAAAAGGGAGAAGGGGAGAGGGAAAAGGGGAGCACAAAGGAGTGGTTGAGGAGGGCAGCAAGGATGGGGCAGAGGCAGCCTATGCTGTTGTTTACCCACCGGGCACGAGGGTTGAGAGGAGATGAGTGGGGTGGACAGGCAGAGAACAGTAGAAGGGGAGGTGAGTGGAGTGAAACGGATGAGGTGGCGGTTGAGGCAGGCAATGCGGTTGAATGCGGTGGTTCACCTGCCCGCGCACGCACACTGCCAACAGGTACCGGTCCGGGTGTGGGTGCCACGTCAGCTTTTGAGGCGCGAACGGAGAAGAGGAGGAAAAAGAAGAGGAAGCAGGAGTGTGGATGTCAGGGGAGGGAATGTCGGTGGAAATGAGAGGAGTAGCGGAATCGCCATGATTGGCTGTTGGATCAGGTATGGCCTGGTCTTGAGGCTGCTGGTGTTGCTCCTCCTGCTGTTGCTCCTCCTGCTTCTCTTGTTCCTCTTGCTCCTCCTGCCTCTGCTCCTCCTCCTCCTCCTCCTCCCCCTCCTCTTTCTGCTGCTGCTGAACCACATCATCCCCCCCGTCGTCTGCTCCACTTCTCCCTATTCTGATCCCCTCTGTGTCTCCCCCAAAGCTGGTTTCGCTACGTCCATCCGCACCGTCCCTCCATGCTGACGTGTCCGGATCCTCTTTCCCTAGCTCCGTCTTCAGCAGCCGAATGATGGAGGAGGGATGCTCGTTAAACCCATCCAAGGTTGTTTTTACAGCGGTTCTTGTGGTGGTTGGAGCGGGTAGCGGGAAAGTCAAACTATGAGGTGTTTTGGCAGCGGGATGAGGGAGGGGAGAGGTGAGTTGGCTTGACCTGCGATCGTGAGACGCGGTGGGGGAATGGAGGAGGTGGAGGTGGTGGGAGAGGATGAGGAGCGAGGAGGGGAGCAGAAGAAGCAAGAGGGCAGCGAGCAGCCATCGCCGCGGCGAGCGCCGCGCGACGGACTGGGTTGGAGCAGCGCTGCGCGGAGCCATTACACTGATGATTCTTGTGGCTTTTGATTTGAGGCGCCTCAAATGACGGGCTGACCGGCGGGAACAGTGCTACGAGAGGCCATAATCCAGATGGACGAGATCGGGCCGTACGAAGAGCGGGAAGGGACGGCGATTGCGAGAGGTCATTGGTATATAGTTGGGCTCGCGAATCGACTGGAAAAAATCTGCGGTGCGTGAGAGTAGAATTGGAATTGACTGGTACATCCAGGCGACTGCTGTGGAGTCAAGAGGCTGATCAAGCAGGTAGTCTTGTCACGCTTGACAGGAAGCGTGTGAGGAAGGAAAAGGGAAGCAAACGGAGCACCGCGACGCTTGCGGGATTCGTGACAGCAGCTCGCGACGGCGGCTCGTGACGAGGTATGTGGTGTTTCGAGTGACGGCACGGACTAGCTACAGAGAGACGCGGCGACCATCATGAGGAGGACGAGCTGGCAAGGAAGCATCTGTGGCCACTCAACAACACAACTGATATAAGGGCGTGTCCAGCTCGTTCATTTCGGGAAATCTAGTACCTCCTCACGATCCGGGGTTCAAAACTGAACACTGTACCTATAAACGAGAGTGCCTTGCTCGAGTCCACCCTTTCTGTCATTCTGGCGCGCGGACACCATCCCCCCACACAGACTTCAACAGTGCAGGGGCCGTGTGGCAACCAAGGTAAACAGTTCCCTCGTCAACCAAAGCGTTAGAATTTTCGCCAGGCCAACACTTCCACTATAGGTTTTGGCGAGTGTCAGGCGGCACATGCGAAATCAAGCTCGCGATACGATGGGCACTCACTGTAGTGGGCAGGACGCGGCTCTGTACCATTGTTCGATGCGCACGCTGATTCCTGTAACGTGCGTCACACGATTCGAGGTACGTGCAGGGGGTGTGCCGTATCGTGAACGGGAGCTGATCGTGTCTGGCATTTTTGTAAAACTCAGTGTTACAGCTCAAATTGTGGTAACTGAAGGGCTTTACGAACAGTAAATGAACGAGCTGGACACCCCCTAACCGTTTCAGTAAGTTCAGGGCGTGTTGGAATCTGTTGAAGCAAAAGCTGGTGGAGCAATGCTCTCAGCTTTCGTTCTTGAGCAATGCTGGACATGCTTTGTAGTGGTGATGAAACCGAGGGACCCAGTGAATCATACCAGTATGACAAATGTGGAGAATCCGCGTTACTGGCTATAAGAATCATCAGACAGCATGTCACTTCATTTTGTATGGATCTTGAAGTGAAGGAAATGCTGCAACTTATGTGATAGAACCATTGGAAGGTAAATATTAATTAAGATTACAGCAGGTAATGGTTTACGATGCTAGAGATCGAACTCCAAAATCGCTCGTGAATGCTCCTTCACTGAAAAGGTAACACCAACGCTGGTAGGCTGAAGGGCATTGCGCCTAACAAACTGATCCATCTTCGCGTCTTTGAGTCGGAATTGAAACGAACAAGCCTGTTGGCCTGGAAGGGATCTGCATCGAACAAAAAAACAAAACAACACAGGTCAATATCAGTATTTTCAACCCAGCCCACGCTACAAACATTAACATACACAAAAGAAGCCGGTATACACCCTTACCGTTGTCGTTTCAAGCCCCCCAATCGGCGCCCCATCCTCCCTCTCGGTTTGTTCTCCGCTGGAGTGTGTCTGAAGCTGGCCAGTTTCGCAGCCACCTTGCCCATCGCATCCTTCCCCACCGCTGAGTACCGTAACACATGTGAAACATCAGTAGCAAACGACAGTCCACTCATGCCGCTACTCCCACTCCTGATGTGCATCTCCCCTGCAGCCCCATCCCCTGTATCACCTAACTCGTTTCTATCTACACCACCACCACCATAACGCTCCCCTTCTCCATCCCCATTGCCTGCATCACCACCTTCAGAACCCTCAGCCTGCCCCAGATCCTCAGCATCACAATCTTCAAAACCCTCAGCAGCATTCCCTCTGAAAAACGCACTCCCCCGTGCCAGATTTCTCTTGCGATCCCCTCGCACTGTGCCGGTAACGTCACCCACCCCCCTCCCTCTGCCACCTCGTGCTGCTCGTCCTGCAGCACCAGCATTCAAACCCCTACCAGGAGGCAGACCAGCTACCGGCATCCTGAACACAAGACCCTGCCGTCCAGGTGCATTGAATCCTGCCCTACCAGGCCCCTCATCCTCCTCCATACCCTCTGCCTGCACTGCAGAACCAGCCCGTTCTATCCGAGCTGCCCTGTCTGAGCCACCTGCCCCATTGGGCCCATCAGACCCATCATCTCCACAATCCCTCTCACCCCCCCCATCTGCCTGGTCTAGTGCATCTGCATAATCTGCACCTGGTGCATCTGCTCCTTCCGCCGCACCAGAGCCCCGATCGTGCCAGAGCAACCCCTCTTCCACCTCTGCTGAACCAGCAGACGCAACAGCAGTAGCAGCAACAGAGGCAGCGGCAGCGGCAGCTGTGGTGCGAACAATAGCTCCAGCTGCAGCGGAACCAGGCATGCTACTGCGGTGAACGTGTGAAGCAAACGGATTCCCAGCAGCAGCTGAGGGTGGGGAAGCTAGAGTTGTGGGAGTGAATAAACCCGTGGTTGCACGACGAGGATGAAGACGAGGAAGAGGAGAAGGAGGTGGGCGGCGATGTAGAGAAGCAGCAGCACTGCAGTGAGAGGGAGGCAGCAGAGGAGAAGGCGCAAAAGGGAAAGAGCTTCTGGCGGGCCTAAAGAAAGGACTCTCCTCCGCCCTCTCCTGCTCCTGCTGCTGCTGCTGCTCCTCCTCCACCACCTCCGCCTCTCCTTGCAATTCTCTCACAGAAAAAGGTCTGGCAGGGCCGAAGGGGCTGATGGATGGAAGGACGTGCGGGAGGAGGGGGTCACTGCTGTGGCCCACGGGCCATGGGTCGGCAAATGGGTCAATTTCGATGCCATGCATGGCGTGTGCTTGCATGTGCGAGAGAGTGTGTGTTGTGCGGATGGTGTGGGTTGCTGTGAGCGAGAAGAAACTGGCGTCCGCTGGAGGTGCACCTGCCATGCAGAGAAACGACGACTGGAGAGTCTGGACAGGCCGCACCTGCATAAAACGGCCTCTGCCCAGATGCTAATTTGGAAAATCATAAGATAGATGCTATAGAAACAATCACATTACAATGAATGAAAAACAATACAGACATACCGTCATCAAAGCAGGGGCGCTTGGCAGGTGGAGTTAGCAGAAACTCGGAGCCCTGTTGTCATCCATCGCACGCCCAAAGATAGTGATAGCCACAAATTAAGCAGCAGAGTAGATCCACCGTGGAGCAGAGAAGACCCACCATCACACCACGGCGTGTCCGTGGAAAAAGCAGGCGAAACAGCAGAGATTCAATGTGCATGACAAGGCACACACGCAGCACACACAACGCATCCTGGTAAGATAGACGGTTGAATATAGCACAAGGCTCATGGAAAAAAGCGCAAGTGGAAAACCAAAACAGACAAGACAAATAAAAGGACCCAGGCTGTGGCGCACAGGAGGCCTCTGTAGCTGCGCCGAAACTGATACTGATAGCCTGAGAGGCTGCGAAGCTGGGACTAGAACAGGCTACTCACCCTATCAACCTGAAGGGCTTGACGGAAGTCTGCAGGGATAAGGGGGAGGGAAAGAGGCCAGTGCCTCGCATCTGCGCATCTGTGCTCTGCTGAAAGGAAGCTGGGCCAGCTCTTCTACTGGGTGGAAGCTGCATCTTCCACCGAAGTGACCAAACCAGCACAGCATGTGAAGGAAGGAGCGAGGCTGACTGGGTTGTGATTCAAGGACGAAGGTTCTCGGTTTTCAGCCATTCGAGCTAGCTAACGACACGAGCTACTACACAGGTGACCAGGGGGCGATGATGGGTGACTAATTGTCAAGAAAACGGCAGGAGAAACAGGAGGGAAAGATAGGAAGGAGGGACTCACCACACATGTGGAGCAGGACATCTCCTGTTGCACCACCACGTGCGCCGCCCCCATTCTCCCTCGAACTCCCCGCCCTTGCACCCCTCGCCCGCTCCCCAGCATCCGCTTCGGCGAGTCAAACACCGCCTCTGCCTGCTGCCTGCTGCTGCCGGCCTCACCCACCCCCAGCCCTACCACCCGTCCTCCTCCGAATCCCACCCCTCCTCCTCTTCCCCGCGCTCTTCCTCCTCCTGCTGCGCCTGCTGCCCCTCGCATGCCCATCCATCCGCCTGCCCTCCACCCTCCTGGCCTCCGTCCTACTTGCCTTATCTCGTGACTGCCTGGCACGTCATTCACGAGGTCAAAGGCAGGAGGCAGCAGCAGCTCATCTAAATCTGCATCCAGGTCTGCGTTTACGCCCCACTCTTCATCCAAATCTCGGCCCCTTCTCAACACACCCTCCGATCGCTCACTTCCGTCCTCTGCTCTCTCTTCCTCTCCTCGGGCTCCTTCACTACCCCGCAACACAAACTGGTCCCACTCAGTTGGCGTACCCTCCTGCCTATCTCCAGAGACACGTGGTGGTGCTGCTCGCCTGTACGGTTGCCGTTGCTGCGATGGTGGCTCAGGAGTGGTCCCAGCTTCGGCAATGGAGCGGGGTGGAGTGAACCGTTGGAACACACGGGCAACAGCTGCTCTTGGCCCAGCTGCAACCGGCTGCTGCTCCTGCTGTGGCTGCTGCTGCCTCTCCTCCTCCAGTACCGTCCCTGCCATAAACTGCACCAAGTCTTCCCCCACCATCGGCTCACCACTGCCCTCTTCCGCTCCCATCAAGCCTTCACCTGCTGTGGACCCTGCAGACCCCTGCCCTGCAGCTGACCTCCTCACAGACCGCCCACCCCTTCCGCTGCTGTTTCCACCTGGCTGATTTGCCGAGCCAGAGGGGCCAGGCTCGGCAGCAGCTTCAGGACGAGACGGCTCGAAGGCTGACTGGACCGGGGGCGTTACGGGCGACCTTCGCGGTGGTTGGAACTGTTTCTTGGCAGCCGGAGCCGTGGGGACTGGAAGAAGAGAGTTGTTGAGATGGGGTGAGGGGAGGAGAGGAGAAGGCAAGAGACGTCAGCGAGGAAACAGTGCAGCGCAGCGAATGTTTCAGATGCAAAAAAAATATAGGTTATGGGCACGTCACGAGGTAGCTGGAACTGTTTCTTGGCAGCCGGAGCCATATGGACTGGAAGAGGAGAGTTGTTAAGACGGGGTGAGGGGAGGAGAGGAGAAGGCAAGAGACGTCAGCGAGGAATGTGTGCACTGTATTCTTCAGGCGGCTCAAAAGAGGACGTTACACGCGAGCCTCGTGGTGGTTGGTACTGCGTCTTGGCAGCAGGATCCACAGGGACTGGGGAAGAAGGATTGTTGAGATGTGGATGGAGAGGAAAGGGGACAGCGTATTGTGCATAGAACCGGCTGAGCGCATGCACCAAAGCACTCACCAGACAAAAGCACTCACCGGACCAAGTACTCATGAGACCAGACCGGAGCACTCACGAAAGTATTTAGATAGCTTGTTCTTCTGCACTGGCAGCTGCATTGGTGATCTCCCCGGCCCACCACTGCCAGGCCTGCCATTGGTAGCCGCGCTTTGTCCCCCTCGTGCTGATGTCGCTGCTGCTGCTACTGCTGCCGCTCCGGCTGCTGCTGCAAAAGCTGCTGCGCCTGCCTGGGTGTGTTGCCTCAGTCGAGGTGACTGAGCTGGTGGCAGTGGCTTGGGTACGGGTTCCGCCTGCAAAACATGTAAAAAAATAGGACAAAACAGCATGGTGGCGGGTGGTTACTATGCAGCACCAAGTGGTTACTAAACAGAGCCGTGGAGCAGGGAAAGAAAACCTTTTGGAAAAGAGTAGCCTATCTCATGTGTAGAACCCACAAGATCAGTACAAAAAACGCATACTTGGAGCATTTACAAGTGCAGTGCATCGGAATCTTACCCCAAATGGTTCATCCGCGGTTGTTATCACATCAAAGAGCTTTTAATGCGATGGTTCGTACATTGATCGGCTCTTTTGTGATGGGCCTTACATCAAACGGCTCGTAAGTGATGGGATCCACATAGCCGAGGGCAATCGCACGGACGAGGCTTGGAGCGAGCTCAGTGGAGATTGTTGAAGTGGAACGAAAGAACAGTGGATGGTGGGGGAAGAAGGGAGGGAAGAGAAGAGAACGAAATAGGGAGAAGAGGGGAAGTAAAGGAAGCACGGGAGAGAGTGAAAGCATACAGTCAAGGGGAAACTATCACATGAGAAACGAGCATCTTGGCGAGCTGGAAACAAAATGAAAGAGCAAAACGAAAAAGAATGTGTTTTTAGAATGTTTAGGGGCAAAACAGGGCAAGAATGGGAGTAAGTGAGGACAGGCACGAAGCACGCTGAGTAGGATATGGTCCAAGAAACGACAGATCCGTGTCCGGTCCAAGCGTGGGAGGCAGCGGGTTGACATGAGTCATGAGCTCATCCGCCAGATGGTACACGCGGTGGTGCAGGAACGTCAGCAGCGCCTGCTCAAACGCGCCCTCATACTCCTCTGGCACCACCCGCCCATTCAGCTTCGCTACAGCCAGCGCTGACTGATAGTTCCTGTGCCTTCGGATCCAGTCGTGGGCTGTTTTGAGGCCAACTTTGGGAAGGCTGTCGAGGTAGTCGCAGCCGCTGAGGATGCACATCTCGAGGACCATCTGCGGGGTGAAATCTGCCAGAGCGAGCTCCTGTGATTGGCCTATGTTGGCGTATACGATCTCGTCGCCGTGCCCCATGTGGTCCATTTTGAAGAGGACCCGCGGGCAGGAGTAGGCGATGAGATCGGAGTCCTCTGTAATTACTGCGTGCACGAGGCCGCTGGTGCAGAGATACGCCATCTGTGCATCGGCTTCGTAGGGTGCCACCACGTACTCCACGTGCTCCTGCCTCAGCACCTGAGAATGGAGGGTAAAGAAAAAGAGTGACGTTTTGCAAACAATGTAACCAATACACATTCAGGAAAATGAGCGGAGGGATGGTTTGCGAAATATATGGTGAAAGCATCAGGAAATTGTAAAGGAGGACTGGTATCAACCACAAATCAATAATCTGGTGATGGCCAGACCCTGATTAGCTGGTGAGCGATGGCAGGTGTGATGTCAACAGCCTTCTGAAAGCACTCCCTTGCTTCACTACGCTTGCCCTTCAGCAACAGCTGCTCCGCTCGTTCAAGGTTCTCCCTCCTTGATCTGCAAAATACAGACAATACACAGAAAAGCAGAAATTTGGTGATAGGAAGAAAGTTCGCTGAAACCTGGAATTGCAGTTTGTGATACAGAGGAGATTGCAGGCAAATGAACGAATGTCTTGGATGTATCATTCTCGAAAATGTACGAAGAAGTTAAAGTCCATGCAATTGCTGAATAAACAGAACCATGGTTCGATTCGATGTAACTCCAGTCCGAGGGGGGGGACATTATCTACAGACTTGTCTCGTTTGGATTCTTGCTGGGATTTCGAGGGAAGCTTTCCGCCGTCGAAGACGAGCACGGGAATGACGCCATTGTCTCTCAGGAGTTTGACCTTGTTCATGCAGTATTGAATGTGCCTGGCGGAAATACAGAGGGGGGAAGAAGACGAGGGAGCAAAAGAGACTACGATGCTGAGAACGCATTTGGCAATGATAGCCTGAAATGAGGACCAAATCGAGGAAAAAAATCAGTGCCACCAAACCCTCAAGCGACGGCTTCGCTGTTACAGGACTCTCAAATGACGAAACCCACTTAGCGTCCTGAACGCTCAAACCCTGATAAATCAACCCTAAGAGCTACCCTCCCCGCCTGAACCATATGTCTATGCTTGTCACTCCCTGATCCCAAGTGTAAGCAACGTGCCGGTAAGAATGCGATCGTAATCTAGAAAAGGACGATCGAGAAAATGCTGCTGGCCTATCGTACGAAACCAGCGACTTCGACGTTTCATAGTCTACGAATTCTCCTTCGTATACCCTCGGGGTTCTTAACATCTAGGATCAGGCTAGAACCGGATTACGACGAATTTAACCTTAATGCGCTGCGGAACTGCACGAGAAAAACTGTCAGAAAATCGCGAAATTCACTGAATCAATCTGGCATTGCCTACCTCGTACACGGCGTGCCTTGACAAAGCTCCTGACTGCAAGAATATGAAGCGCGATGAAGCCAGGAATACGTGTCAATGGCTACCCTGCGTCCAGCATATTCTCGTATGTGCGTGCGTCTCGTCACCGACTTGAGCAACGGAAGAAGGCCAGTGATACCCATGGCTGTTATTCATCCGAAGGAAGACCTGCTAGCAGGTCAACTACTAAGATGCAGTTGCTACTGGTAGACGAGGGAAACTTGCCCAGCGAGGTGATGGACCAGATCAGGCGGAGGAAAAGCAGGAAGCGTCACCACAACGACATGGTTTGACAATTCGATCTTTGTAAAGTTTAGAGTTGTATCCACTTTTCCAATGTAGCATGTCGGTGTAGTTTAGTGGTTAGAATCCCACGTTGTGGCCGTGGAGACCTGGGCTCGAATCCCAGCACCGACACTGTTTTGTGCCCACGTTCTCACCAGCTCCCTTTCTTCCTCCACTCCTCCACCCATCAATAGACGGATGTCCACTACTTCGCCAACCCCTCATTTTCTCTCAGAGGTCTGAACAAAAATTCATACAATGTGTGCTATGCCACACTCTAATTCTCACTTGGGCACAAGATTTTTCTGGCTAATGGCATACCACACAGAAAGAAGGCTTCACAGACAAAATAGTATATACACCAAATGACAGGCATACATGACTCCACAACAAGCATTACAGCAAGCACTCAGTAATTAGAGTGTCTAAGTATAGAACAAACAACTCGGAGGATGTGCATACTTCCTCAAAACTGCCAGTCCGGAACATCCTGAAGCTCCAGGCAGAGTTCACTGTCCACAATGGGGCTGCTGGAAGCAGCCAAAAAATCAGACAACGCGCTCACATCGTGCCAGATGTCCTCAGTGCTGCTGTCCTCTAGAACCTGCGCACTTGGCTTGTCAACAAGCCCTCCCAACACCAAATCTCCAATGCTCGTAGTCCCGAAATCTGCACTGCCTGCGTTGGAGACAGTATTTAATCCCTGCTCCTCCCCTGCAGGTGTTCCAGTTACAGCCTTGTTGGTACCCGTGGGGGTAGATTCATCCTCATACTGCTCATCCTTGGCCTCGTGTGCTTGTAAAGGGGTCTCATGCAGAGGAGTCGTAACATGCTGCTCGCTTGTGGCACTCTCCATAGAGTCAGCACGGAACAGCACACGGTAAACCTCCTCCTCCACCGCCTCCCCCGATTTCTTCCCCGCGCCCCCTTCCCCCAGCTCCGCCAGCACCCAGTGCGGAAGCCCCGTTGCCTCCTCCGCGCCTGAGGGCTCATCCAGCCAATCAAACGGGCCCATGCCTTGCACGTCCCCCTCTGCCCCGCCCTCCAGCCACAGCTGCATGGCGCGAGTCCCCTTAGTTACGCGCAAATCCTGCTCCGCCTTCTCCGCCCCTTCCGCCCCACCGTCCGTTGCTGGTTGCTCTGAGGGGAAAAGAAGCCTTCGGGATTCGTCAGCTTCAGTCTCTCCCTCTCCGTCCATCTGCTCCGTCGGCAACTCGATTTTGCAGCAGCTCTCGCCGTCGGATTCAGCAGGCAGAACCTCGCTCTGCAAAGGCGACTCGAGCAACGACGGCAGGTGACTCGACGACGAACCGCCGGCCGAGGCGCTTCCTTCAGCCGGCTTTGGGGATCGAATTGTGCCGAAACCAGGCGCGTATGAAACCGGTCCCATGGGCCCCATGAACGGGGGGCACGCCGCAAAGTGCGGCCAGCCCGTACGCGGTGAGACGAGCTGGGAGGGGGAAACCGGGCTACCAGCGCAAGCGGCGGCGGCGGCGGCGGCGGCGGCGGCTGCACCAGCTTGCGCGAACGAGTACTGCGCTACAAGGCTGTTAATGTGCGTCGACGAATCGACACGTTGCATTTCCGCCTTCGCGTCGGCTGCAGCTGAGTCGGCGCCCTCTTGGCGCAGCGGCAGGGGCGACAGCGCAGGAAGCGCTGACGGAACCGCCGAAGGAACCGCCCAGGAGCCGTTCTGAAACGCCGGAAGTTGGAATCCCTGGAGGTAGTGATTGTAGAGCATGTGATTATGGTGGACGGGGGACATCGCGGCCCACGAATAGCCAGGCGGATGAACGGCCGTCCAAAGCGGAGGAGGAAGAGAGGGTTGGAAGGGAGGGAGAGGAGTCGAGAGGTGCGGAGGAAAAGCGAGAGTCGTTCCTGCTTGTCGGTAAGGAGGGCTGGCGAGGGTCGGTGCGAAGGCAGCTGGGCTTCGGCGGTCGTCTCTCCGTGCTCGTTTGGTCTTTTTGAGGGCCTGTGGTCTCGCTTGGGCGTTTGAGTCGGTGGCGTTTCTCTTGAGGGGAACGCTTTGCGGCCTGCTTGCTGGGGAAGTCGCCATGGTTGCCACGTTCCCTTGGTGATCCATGCTCTAAGCGGACTGAATCCGAGAGACGAGGTCGAGGTCTTTTAGACTCGCCGTGGGAAATTGTCAGTGATGAAAGGTGTTGGGTTCTGGTTTTGCTGCGTGCGTGCGGGCTTCTCAAGAATGTCGGATGGTCACAGGGTAGTATATCGTTCGTTCTCTTCGTTGGAAGGTTTTCCAGCCTTCTTGGTGGAACATTCGCAGGATGAATGAAGCTGTGAATGAAATACAGGCGAGTTGAGGAGCTCGTTATACTGATGTGACGACGAGCTGGAATCCAGCCAGATAGGTGGTGGGATGAAAGGAACTGGGAAGAATTATGGGCGAGGGGAGAAGGGAGGGAGCAACAGAAAGCACATGGGTGCGCGAGGCATGTGTGTACACACCCGTAATTGTTCGTTCAATCGCAAATTCTTTCGTCGGTTCTCTCAGCCCGTGCACGCGACACCTTTCACCATTTTCCATGCGACGCGACGCGAGGCGCACAGTGTTTTCCTCTGGACTCGGGCTGGAGCACGAGTGAGGCTCGGGCAGCGGAAGGAAGGACCCAGCACCACAAGCGTCGGTTTCGCGCAGTCAACTACAAAGCAGGAGCCAGGGCGTTTGATTCGTTGAACCCATCACGGGCAGACTCGTGTGAATGATGGTACACTTGAACGGGATGTGCATCAGGTCATCTTGGGCCGTTTCTGCTCCTTCTGAGTGTTCGCCGGTCGGTGCGCCGTGCCAAATCGGCCCTTTCGCTTCGTCTTGGCGCCCAAGAAACTACGCCTGGCCTTGCTCTTTCCTGCCCGTGACGTTCAACTTTCAGAGCAGAAATTCCAGAGAGTGCACAGCGGGTTGAAAATGATGCGGTTGTCATGCTTCACGTGCGCTCCAACAGACATCATGGCACTCCAAATCGCGTCAATCACCCAACCGAACCGAACCTGTGAATCTGCCCGCCTCGGGAGTTTCGCTGATATTTTGTAGGTGCGCTCGCGCAGGTGCTGAATGTGGAGCAGCGGAGACCACCATCTGCCTGTCTGAAAGGCGCAGGTTGTCGGGCTCGGCGGGGATAGCTGTTGCGGGTCCTTCCGCGCTCCGCCATTTCACCCCCCATCTGCCACACCTGGACGCATTCGGTTGGCTAGCGCCCCTTGCCTACGTTCTGGCAGACAGCTAGCAGTTTCGGAGGTGACCCTGGTCCCCCCGACTGTCCCAACCCCTCTCTGTGCATCCTACACAAGGACCAAAATTTTCAACGAAATATCGGAATACGTTACAGAATGTGCCGAACCAAATTTCTATCGTTTGCTACACATAGTCTCGAAGTAAGGGCGTGTCCCGAAAGTTTGTAAGCAGTTTCGGGACCCGGTTTTACGTTAAACAACACGTACAGCAGCGCGGTACACACACGTTCCAGGTACGTACAAATCACTCCGAACGGAGACCCGAAATCCAAAAACCTGACAGGGACACGAGGCTCTACAGTGCCGCGAGTTGTACAGCCCAATCTCGGACTGTTACCAGGTCCACTTGCCAACGGACCAATATGACCGTCGTGGAGGAATTTGCGACAGCAGGGCGAGTTCGCCCAAGGGAGATGCTTCGAATCTGGAACTCCTCGCTTCCTGTTCTATCTGTTTCAGGTACTCTTTCTCTCATGTCAGTACAATACGCAGTCCAACAGTTACGACTGCTGTGTTTTGCTTGTACTCCCTGGTGTATAAGCTTTCACATTGGAAAAAAAAAAAAAAAAAAAAAAAAAAAAAAAAAAAAAAAAAAAAAAAAAAAAAAAAAAAAAAAAAAACCAGTCCAAGTTGAGACGCGTCAGTTATTTTTGTACAGCGCGGTCCGTGTCCAGACGAAGTAGTTGGCGAGTAACGACACGCAAGATTGTGGTTACTATTTACCAAATGAAATGTAAATGTACTTTTCGGACACGCCCTAAATGAACAGGTTGTCCTTCGGTTTTGCCTTGAGTATGACGTTGCGCTTCACGGGCAGTTTCTGGTCAAGATCTGGAAGAAACAACGGTACACACTTGCTCCTCATTGCTGCGATTGAGGGTGCGTTTCTGGCTAGTGTCAAACTTCCGGTCAGACTTCGTGTTTTCCGAGCCAGGGGCGATTTTTTGCGGGAAGACCCGAAGTGGGACCAGCTGTGGGGCGAGCTTCGTGCTATCCCGGGAAGACCGGAAGTTTGACACGAGCCAGGAACGCGCCCTGCGAGCATCTGTATCAACTGCCACAACCAATCGGAGTGAACGTTACACAAGTCATGCCACCAGTTTGAAAATTCCGAATAGGGCTCCCTCGTTACAGTACAGATCGCATCATTTTTTTGTGGTGTTCCATCAACCACACAATCTAATACAAAAGCGTTTTAGTATAATAAAACTCACACTAATCCAACTATTCCAGGCTGATGCACGTATCAAGAATGATGCATGTACCACAATCGAGTATGCTGGGAACATTCAGCCAATAGGACTGATCGTGTCGTGGAGACCAGCCTTCAGGACGCGTCACCTCCTCCGATTTTGTATTACTTTCTATCCTGCGCAGGATCGTTTTTTGGCGAGGTTGAAAAGGGTCAATAAAGATGTGGAAACAATAATCGGGGCTTCAGCGCGGTGGCGGATCGATAATACACGATCCATCGCAGGTGACGCGTCCCCAGTGATCACTGAATCGTTCAGGTTTGAGAGTGACACTCGCAGGCAGTCCTAATCTTTTCATCACAGACATAGCAGCCTCACTGAACAGAACAGCCGTCTTGTTCAACAGTCCCAAGCTGCTAATCATACAGCGCGACGAATAAACGGCGAACCATGGCCTCGTCGCTGTCTCAGCTCGCCTCGTCGTCCGCACTCTCCGCGCTCCACGCTCGCGTCGGCCCCAGATTAGCCAAGCCGGTGTCGCCATCTGTTCCTTGCGTCGGACCAGTGCGCGCTAGATCGGAATCGGAGTCGCCTAATTCCGCTGCACGGTATAAAAACAAGAAAATAAAACTCTTTATTTCATCAGTTGCGACGTATGCTTCCAGCACCGTGCCGGATCCATAACGACTAAACATCGCATTGCATCGCTTTCCTGGCTTGCCTGAACCATTCTCACCCACAGACCATGCGTCGTTAACCGACGGGATTTGTTGGCCGGGTCGCTGGCGGCTCCGCTGGTGTTGACTCTCGTGGGATCAGCTAGCGCGGAGCAAGGTCAGTTAAAAAACCACATCCTCGAAAGGAATCAGCCGTTGGATATGTGCCCACATTGGATGATACCAGAAATTGTGGAATTTATATATCTTTTTACCTGCTGAAGATGGCTCCAAAAGGAAAGGATTCCCTATGGTAGCGTCAGTGTCCTAACCGGCCGCTCTCATCTGTTGCAACCGTTTGTTTGAGTTCCTCCTTCCTGGTCTTATCCGTTCTCCCATTGCAGAGGCTTCAGACTTCGTGACGTTCGAGAATCCCAAGGAGAGATATACCTTCCAGGTCCCTGCAGGTAAGGCCGTAGTTTAGCAGTATTTTATGAGCCCATTTCCTTCTCACTACTTGAAATAATCGCGTCATAACTCATGGTCTGCCCCACCTCCCCCTCCTCTGGGCCCCGCCCTCTCTTTCTCCCTCTCTCTCTCTCCCTCCCTCTCCGTCTCGAACGTCGCGTCAAGGATGGGTGCGCAGCGAGGGCACGGCGGGAGTGCGTCAGGTGATCGCCTTCCACCCGCCAGATCGCACCGATGCTAACGGTGGGTCTACGGGGAAGGGGTGGGTCTACGGGGAAGGGGTGGGTTAATTGGGAAGGGGTGGGTTCACTGGGAAGGGGTGGGTTCACTGGGAAGGGGTGGGTTAATTGGGAAGGGGTGGGTAAATTGGGAAGGGGAGGGTTCACTGGGAAAGGGTGGGTTCACTGGGAAGGGGTGGGTTCACTGGGAAGGGGTGGGTTCACTGGGAAGGGGTGGGTTCACTGGGAAGGGGTGGGTTCACTGGGAAGGGGTGGGTTCACTGGGAAGGGGGAGGGTTCACTGGGAAGGGGGAGGGTTCACTGGGAGGGGAGGGACTAGGGAGGGGGGTTCACTCAGAAGGGGGTTTCATTGGGGAGGAAGGGTTTACCAGGGAAGGAAGGAAGCGAGTTTGTCGAAATGCTCAAGCCCGCCTGTAGCATGACGCTCGTGAGCGTTTCTCTCTCTCTCTCTAGTGACTCAGATTCCGCGCAGCCTGGAAGTGGTACAACGAAGAACGCTACTTGATTCCACCCGTTTGCATGACAACCTGTGCTGGTACGAAACCAGAGAATCAGGGTCGTTCGTTCTGCCTTTGTCCTGTCCAGCAGGCCAAGCAATGCGGTTTCACGCGTGGCACTCCCTCTGATCATTTCCTTGCACTCACTCTTGCCGCCGCGCATGTCCCTTGTCGTCCCAATGTCCCGATTCCGTGCAGTGACCATCCTCATCACGCCTTTGGCAGCCGATTTCACGTCGCTGGGGTCGTTTGGCACCGTGGACGCCTTTGCTGAAACGCTGGTGGGTTCCTGTCATGAACTTTGCTGCGCTGTGGCATCGGAGTGTGTGTTGCTGGCTGTACTTCTGCACTGCTGCACTTCTGCTTTGCTGCACTTCTGCTTTGCTGCAGTGTTGCACTGCTCTGCCGAGCAACCCACCCTCTCTGCTCTGCTGTGCTGTGCTGCGCATTTCTGGAGCCA